AGTGAGGCTAACTCGCATCTGTATCCAACATGACACCAACTGATGTTATACAATCCTGGGCCTCACTTGTGAAACTTGGTCTTTCAGGAATGCCTTGATGTTTAACAATGAGCTGATGGCCGACATTCACTTCATGGTGGGGCCCCTAGGGGCGTCACAGAAAATACCTGCTCACAAGGTAACCATGTGTGTGATTCACAGCTATTTCTGTTCCTTTGTTGCCTTTAATAACAATAAAAAGCCAGGTGTGGTGAATGCGTCTCCTGTTTTCCTCCCAGTACGTCCTGGCCGTGGGAAGCTCCGTCTTCTGTGCCATGTTTTACGGCGATTTGGCTGAGGAGGAGTCGGAAATCCATATCCCAGATGTGGAACCTGCTGCTTTTCTAATTCTGCTGAAGTAAGCCACACATGACCGAGCGGAGGCCCACATCACAAAGCGCAGTCAGCGTCACTTCAAAGCGTGTCATTACTCATCCGAACGAGGCTAGGCGGAGGCAAAACGCCAGAGCTCTGGGAGTGGAGAGCAGCAGCGGCGATTGCGCTCTGGAAATGCTGGGCTTCTCCTCACTCCTTAGAAATCCTCAAACATCTTTTCTCATCTTCAGACACATATCAACAGAAGTTGCATAATTTAATGAAACGTAGCTTTTGCTTTTCTTGCGCTTAGCTTTGAATAATAGAGTATCACCTGTTGATGTTGATTTTTGTAAAGTAGTTACAGAAAAAGACATTTAAATTCGATGCATTTCAAAAGGCGGTATGTAAAATTGACTGAGATTTACATCATGTTATAATGTTATTCCCTCTTCAAAAAAAAAATACCTGGAGTGTTTATTCTACCATGAATGTTTGAGAAATCCTTTAATCTCCCATGGCAACCATTCAGCTCTGCAAAAGCCCTGGATGGACCTAGCTCCGCCTTCGAAACCAAGCTCCTCCTCAGAGTTGCAGTTTTTAAGCTTCAGTTTGTCCTAATGGCTGAGACAAACAGTTGTTAAAGAAAGAACTTTTTTTTTTAAGAACTGAAGTTGACAGTTAATTGATTTTGCTATAAAACGGCACTGTGTGCCTGGAAATTAATTTTGCCCTTTTATATACATTTTTGTAATATAATTGAAAAAGTAAAACAAATTTTATAAATACACTTGATACAGAGTGATACATTTCAAACTTCAAGGCAAGGATCACCTACCCGACTACAACGTCTCTGGTACTGGATTTCTAACAATACAGTCAGACAGACATTTAAAAAGGAACAGTAAAAGCAAATGAAGTGGATTAGCAGACCAGTGTTACTGTCATGAGACTGCCATTCATCACTCTTCAGTGAGAGGCCTGTTTGGATTCAATGTAATACTGACTACTACTGCACATCCTTTGTAGAATACTTTCAAGATACTTGGATGATGTGAGCTAGCAGAACATTTTATTTCCCTTTTTACATAGTCAAAGTAGTTTTGAATTGACTCTATTTTGGCTCATTCCGATTGCTCAAATAAAAGGAAACTGGACTCTTTCATTTTTTTTAAAGACATTTCGCCTCTCATCCAAAAGAAAGCCAAATGCCTTTTGAATGAGAGGCGAAATGTCTTCAAGGGAAATTAAAACAAGTCCAGTTTTCTTTAACTTAATCACTTAGGATCATCATAACAATCTGGCCTAAAATTCAGTATTTAACAAACAAGAATATACAGAGTATATTCACATAATTTCTGGCCTGAATGTTTGGGTTTTTTTCATGAATAATTGCATCAGTGTGCCATAGAGGTAACGTGACACTGCTGAGGCTGTAAGGAAGCCCAGGTAGCTCTAATGGCGGCTTTCAACTCGCTGTGTTGTTGGCTCAGATGTCTCATCTCCCTCTTAGCAACACACCGTACGTTCTCTAAGGGAGTTCAGTCAGGCCACCATTTTCTATCATCCCTTCTACAGGACTCTGAACAATCAGCTTTTTTTATGTTTGATCTCGTCATGTTTGAGTTGTCGAGCGGCTTGACAACCGCCAAGTCAGCAGTCCTCTTTCACTCATTTGGCGTATAGTGATATTTAGATTTAAAAAAAAAAAAGAATTTTTGGTTTTCAATAATTATCAAACTTACCAGCAACCAGTAACAGGGTTGCTGTGTATTGCAGACTTCTGCCCAGGTCCCTCATGAAAATGAGATCTAGATCAACAGAATTTACTTGGTTCAATAAAGAAAATAATAATAATAAAAAAAAAACTGCTTGAAATATTTCACTTTGTTTATACTGAATGAGTTCATGATTACTTGAATAAACTTTACTATTGTATTATAATTCATTTAGATGCATTTAAGAAAGTCTGGTATCTAAGTAACAGAATTTGATGCACAATCCCATTTTTGTTTAAATATAAACTGATGAAATTTAATATAGAATGAAAAGTTACAGTCATTTTAAATAAATGTTACTTTTGTTTACAGTAGGGTTGCACCAGTATGGCAATTGGGATGGATATCGATACACATGATAATACTGCTGTTATGGCCAATAACCAAAATTTACCGATATAATATATATTTGTCTACCATTTTGACAACCTTGGAGAAAAAAATTACCAGAAACAGATAGCAACAAGATGGAAATAAATATTGGTTGTTCATAAAATATGATATAATTTATTGAATCCCCAGGGGAAGTTGCTTAATATTGGTGGAGGTTTAGTTACTGAGCAGATGTTAGTTCTGATGTATTGTGCATCTCTAATGTACATCATTTTCCTCTCACTCACATAATTTAAACAGAATTTCAATATTGTTTTAATAGAAAAGTTAGTTTCCAAATGAAAAGTATAATTTTTTTTATTTAAATATTTAAAAAATGTTTTAATATGTTTTGTGAATCGAATGGAATTGAATTGGTAGACACTGAAAGATTTGCATCTTTTAGCACTTACACAACCCTATTTTTGTGACATTTTTTCTGCTCTCAGATACTTGTACAGCGACGAGATTGACCTGGAGGCTGACACGGTGCTGGCCACTCTGTACGCCGCCAAGAAGTACATCGTCCCAGCGTTGGCCAAGGCCTGCGTCACCTTCCTGGAGACGAGCCTGGAGGCCAAGAACGCCTGTGTACTGCTCTCCCAGAGCCGGCTGTTTGAGGAGCCGGAGCTGACGCAGCGTTGCTGGGAGGTCATCGACGCCCAGGCCGAGCTGGCGCTGCGCTCGGAGGGATTTTGTGAGATTGACCTGCAGACGCTGGAAATCATCCTGCAGAGGGAGACGCTCAACACGGACGAGGTGGTGGTGTTCGACGCGGTCATGAACTGGGCTGCGGCAGAATGCAAAAGGCAAGGTCTGGGGCCCACCACACACAACAAGAGAGAAGTCCTGGGCAAGGCGTTGTTCCTGGTGCGGATTCCCACCATGAGCGTGGAGGAGTTCGCCAACGGAGCAGCGCAGTCCGACATCCTGACTCTGGAGGAGACGCACAACGTCTTCCTGTGGTACACGGCGGCCAAGAAGCCCATGTTGGACTTCCCCCTGACTCCAAGGAAGGGCCTGTCCCCGCAGAAATGCCATCGCTTCCAGTCGTCCGCCTATCGCAGCAACCAGTGGCGCTACCGGGGCCGATGCGACAGCATCCAGTTCGCCGTGGACAAGAGGATCTTCATCGCCGGACTGGGGCTGTACGGGTCGAGCGGCGGCAAAGCCGAGTATGCCGTGAAGATTGAGCTCAAGAGGCAGGGGGTGACCCTGGCTCAGAACCGCACCAAGTTCGTGTCGGACGGTTCCAGCAGCACATTCCCCGTGTGGTTCGAGCATCCCGTCCAGGTGGAGCAGGACACGTTCTACACAGTGAGCGCCGTGCTGGACGGGAACGAGCTGAGCTACTTCGGTCAGGAGGGCATGACGGAGGTGCAATGTGGGAAGGTGACTTTTCAGTTCCAGTGCTCCTCAGACAGCACCAACGGAACGGGAGTGCAGGGAGGGCAGATCCCAGAGCTGGTGTTCTATGCCTGAGTTGCTGTCCCCACCTTCAGGCCTTCAAGCTAATGTAGCATTCAGACATTCTGTTAACGTCACATTAACTAGCCTGCGTAGTTCCTCCAGAGACTATTTTAAAAGCAACAGGAGCCGTTATATTCTATTTAATTTAAGGTTATTATTAGTATTTTTATTTAAGTGCTGATTAAAGGTTATTTACTCTGCTGCGTGTGTCGAAGGGCTGCATCTGCTGTGGAAATCAACACTCATACTGTGCTTATGTAATCAAACCTGGAGTGAGTAGAGACTGCTTTAAGACGTAGTTTAATACAATGTTGTTCTTAAAGTTACAGCAGCAATATTCCACAAGGAGCGACCTTAATGTAGGGTTCTGAGTAAACGTACAGGAAGAGAGAAAGCTCTTCACTAATGGTGGCTTTGCACTTCAGAGGACGACCTCACAAACGTTTTTGTCTTTTGTAAAATACAATTCAACTGTTAGCAGCTTGATGCTGTTAAAAACCTGATGTGTTCTGTCCAAGAATGCTTACACACCTCTTAATAAAATGTTAAAGTTATAACGTAAACAGATGTAAATCTTTGTGTTGTGGGGACAAAGAGGGGGTTATGGTGCCCCCTGGGTGAGGAGGAATGAACTGCAACCTATTTTAATGAAAAGATTGATTACGCCATCAGAACACCTGTGCATTTCTGATTAGAATATTGATGAAATGTTCATTCATCTCTGTTATTTTATTGAAACGCTGATAGAATATTATTATAGAGAAGGAAAAATTAAACCTTTTAGAGTAATTGTACGTGTTAACAGCCTTACCTTTTATACATTTATTAAAAGAAACATTAAATTATCCAAATGGACAAACAATTCAGTCCCTGAACACAACACAGCTTTTTACCTCCACTTTCCGTTTCTGGAAATCTAATTTGTGCCATCTATTCTGTAATGTGACTATATCAAGCACTTGAAACTATCATGCCTTGTAAAAAAAATTCAGAGAATGCTAAATGAAGAGGATGAAGTAAAAATACCTATAGCTGGAGCGTTGATGCAAAGTTCCTTGGCCAGCGCGAGGAAGGTTTTTCCCAGCACAAAGACATTCACCTGTGAACACAAATACAGAAAGAAGTTGTTACAAAACTGATTAGACATGTAAAAACCTGGTGCTGTGAGATCCTCCTGCGTCTGGAACAGACATTTGTACAGTATTGACTAAGCCACTGAACCCACCCAAAGCCACATGCAGGCTTCTAATCTGGCTTCAGACCATTTGGTCCACCAGTTGCAGTGTTTGTGTGAAGCAGACTGGAAGCATATGATACACCCTTCACTTCCCAGACTGGTTTAGCAATCAAATTATGCAAATGAACCAAAGTGTGAAAACATTTCACATGAATGTGACCGATTACAAACTGAGCTTTTGCAGAATTTGAGCTGCACTCTGTTACTGCACCCGTTTCCCCCAGCAGACAGAATTTCCACATGTCAACTAGAAATCTCAATGGTCAGATTGGACACACTTCTTCCCGAATGAATGTGGACTGCTGATATTTTAGCAATGTTCAGTTTTGACCATTTAATTTCACCTTTGATTGTAGTGCTCTGTTCTGTATGAACAGAGCACTACTTCTTTAAATCTACAACAATATGACCTTTACAGACCTGAGCCAAGCATGAAACAGAAAAAAATGGTTTGTCGTAACTATGAACATTCTTATCTTCAGTGTTTAACTTTTTAAACTTCCACTATCCAAAAAGTATGAATAGTTTTAGATCTCATTAAAATCTACGAACCATCAGAGAATTTGCTCCCTGATGGTAGCTCCCACATAACTACTCTTTAGGCTCCAGTTTAGTCCATGATCTGGGTGATCACTGAGCCACTGTTACTCCTCCATCTCCTTCATTTCTCCCATGATGAAAACCATCCGTGATATATTACTGCTTCTTCTGTAATCTTTAAATGAAATTATTTCTTATGTTCACATTCAAGGTTAGGCAATGTTTCCAACACCACACAATAATGCGAACGACTGCATCTTTAGACGCAGTCGCTTGCTTGTCCCTTGCATGCCTGAAAACAGTAGTCTTCAGAGTATCTCCTGAAGACTACTTCAGGAGATAAATGCATCGACAGGCATGATGCATTTAAAGTCTGAGAAGTACATAGTGAAAAGGAATAGTGAGAGTACAGTGCCCTGTGGTACTCCTGAGCACCTGGTTAAGACACACGGTCCTTCAGCTCCAAACTAGCATCAATCATCAGGCCTTGTGGGGATCTCTGCCAACTTCTGCTGGCATTTCTTGAACAGTGAACTGGGTTTTATTTTACTATGTTTTCTGGCTAATTTGAAGAATATTCTCCTCAAAGTGCTCCCTACAGGTTTAGTATAGCATCTTCAACTCAAACTCCACTGTGACACGTATATTGCAGAGGGTCCTGAGATACGCTTGTTTGCTACTCAGGTGGACCAACAGGAGTCTCCAAAACCTTCAGAATGTGAAGTCAGGGGAACAAGTCTGTAGTTGTTACAATCTGATTGATGAGCTATATTTGGCACTGGAATAGGGCAGAGTGTCATCCACAGAGACAGAAGTGTCTCCTGGGTCTTCTCCAGGCAAAGGCTGAAAAGGTGAAGCAGAATCCCAAATAGGTAGTCAACACCTTAATGGAGTTTCTTCAGGTTAATCTTCATGGTTCTTTTAACAATAGGTCGTCTCTGAACAAAGGGCTAATACACAATGACAAATAGAGATTGGTCTTCTTTGCCAAGAGCAGATCTTGCATGTTTGGATCCCTGGCATTTTCACATGAAACACATTGACATCTCATGTTTTCTGGTAATGCAATTAACAAGCAGATGTAGCAGGGTATAAGGTGTGGCTAAAATCTGCAAATGTAATGGGGTGTTTGACTGTAGTTTTTCAACAATTGAGCCAATGCAAGACACAAGACTGCATTTTATGTCATCGGCTGATGGCAGAATGTATACTATTGGCAAAAATGGTAAATTTCCTCAGTCTCTAATGTTTAAGAACCAACAGCTAAAAATATCCACATATCTGTAAACACAAAATACTGCAACAACAGTAGTCTGGCTGGTATTATACAAGTTTTGGAGAGGTCAATCGGCTCCACAATATCCAAAACCAGAATAAAAAATTAAATTAAATAAAAAAAAACTTAAGAAAAGCAAGTTTCGGAAAAAAAATGCAAGAAAGCTACTGTCCCTTGCACTGAACTATTCCAGAGTACAAAATACAGCAGTCTGTCTTTGGAACGTGTGTACGACTAAGGTGGCAACAAGCATTAAAAAAAGCTAATGTTTGTTTTTTCTTAAAGATTTCATATTTGGCTTTTTAAAGGGCCCAAAGGTGAACAATAAGAATATCACATGTTTCTATTGTCCTTTTGGTGCCTCCTGCACAAAGAATGCCACAGCTAAGCAGCCTCACTCCACAAACTTAGTGGACGTTCTTGATCTCACCCCCTTAATTATCGCAGGAAGGCACCAGATTTGAACCAGGAACCTCCAGGACCACTTCCACTCGAGTCACTGCTTACTTGAGTAGTAGCAATGTAAAGAAATTAAATGTCAACTTTAACAATACGGACAAATATTACATATTTAGATACATGTTTAGTTAGATTTTAGAGGGATGTTTGCACTGCATAAATCTCGGCCATTTAGTTAGATTTTTCATCTTGACTGTTGAATTAACAGTGAACTCCATTGTAAGGTTAAAAGAGCTGTCCAAGGCTTTCAGAAAGTAAAATCATTCATTAAGCAGTGTAAAAAAACACAACCCAAAACAGCTTTTGCAGAGAAAATGCCCAAAGGAAGAGAGGACGAGAAACGTAGGAAGTTTAACTAAATTTGTCAATCGAAATTCTATACAGACGACGAACAAAAAGTAACAGGCTAGCATATTTGTTTTAGTTTTGCAAACTTGATTAAAGGTGCAGTATCATGAGTGCTATTTTATAGCACAATCAAGTAGCTATGTTAACTTCACTTATTATAAAAATGCTACCTCTATCAAATGACTCCAAAGAAATTTTACCTTGTAATTTAATGCCTTGAAATTGGGCCTTTGCCTCTTTTTAAAAAATCCTGATTCTTCACCTTCAGGAAATCATCGCAACATTGCTAAAAGCTTAATAGAAGGGCCAAGTTTTTACCAGCGTTCACCAGCTCCTATAGTAAGCTCAGCAGAGGCAGCGTTCTACCAGATGTTTGCTAATTGCTGCTGGCTAGTCTTAAGGGATTGCAAGGAAGGAGTGTTCTGTGTAGCGGAAACTCGGAAACCGAAGGCGGTGCCAGCTGAATGGTTGCCATGGGAGATTAATAGATTTCTCCAACATGAATGAAAGAATTAAAGCAGCACTGCAGGAATGTTTCTGATGAGGGAATAACATTATAACATAATGTAATGCTCAAAAGTTACCTTATAATCTGTCGAGCAAAATACAGTTTTCTACTGTACCAAAAGCAGTGGTGAGTCAGCAACAACAGAAGCTGACTGTGTATCTACAGCCAGTAAATGAGTCAACATCACTGATAGTTACAATTCTGGAGGATGATTTTCCCAAAATGCAGACTGTAATAATTCAAATCGAAACAAAGTTGCTAACTAGTCTCCATCTGAGCTGAATGTACTCCTTCAAAAAGGCAACATTTAAAACGTGTGTACTGTTTGTTACACATCCAGGATAGGCTTCTTCTGTCAGTTTAATCACAGCATAAAAAGTTATACAGGAAAAAACCACCAGCAAACAAACAATTCAATAAGACAAGAATGCAAAGTATAACATATTTCTTCATAAAGCCACAATGAAAGTGAAGTATGGGAGCAATTCGGTGAGAATCCATAACAATATACCAGCTGACAGAGAAATGGGTTGAACTCCCTCAAACCTGTCCTGTAACTCGGTGTAGCAGTAAACTAAACCAACCATAATTAATTTTTGGAGTAATTCTTATTTTTTCATCCCAGCTTTGAAACACTCTCAAAAAAGTTAGATGCTTTGAGTTTCCTGTCACTGATCACTTTGTCAACCAGAGGTGATAATTACTTGAGTGTGCAACAAATGACACCATATGGCTGGAAAACAAATAATACTGCCCCTTTAAGAATCTGTGAGACGGGAATCTGTGAATACTGAACTTTGATGCCAATAAACACGTTGAGGGAAGAAGGAAGCACAACAACAGTAGAATACACAATACAGTCTGAAAATACACATACTTTCCAACCCATTTTGGTTTTCCATACCCATCTTTTCCAAACCAATGTCAACCACGTCAAATAAAATCAAATTACAAACTGGACACAAAAAACAACGTTCCCTTAAGTTATTTAGTCTGATAAATAGATCCACATTCTGCTAAATGAATCTCTGCTATGCCATTTTGTTTGTGGCGTTATTAAAAACTTCAAGCATCATTCTCACTGATAATGAATAAATTAGGGGATCAAAGAGTTTCTTTGAAACTTCATGGAGCTGATGGAAGCAGGAGGAGCTGTGTGGGTGGAGTTGGGTGAAGCCTAGCGGGGAAGTACAATCGTCTGTGTCGGAAACGCCCATCACAGATGTTTCATTGTGTTTCAGCCCACTGGCCGTCCAGAAGGCTCTGCAGTAAATTCAACCCCCAAACCCACCCTCTGAAAGGACATACTGATGGATACCGTGGAACAACAAAGGGACAGAGCCACATTCTATCGTCTTCCTCCAGAGATAACAGAGTTAGCCCAAAATTAAGACCTGGGGCAGGAGGGGAGGAGAGGGAGGGAGTTCAGTGCGAAATCTGGAGCAGAAGGCAGCAAAGGCTAGAGAATAAGGTCATGACCTCCAGTGAAAGCTGTGCCATTCCTTCAGACAGTCTGCCCGGACCTCCTGGTGCTTAAGGAGGGCCAGGCGTCCAGGCCAGACAGATGGATGGAGTCTCACTGCAGCACCCTAGGGAGTCAGCAGGGACCCCTGGATTCTAGCAAGGAATTTAGACTCATACATGGAAATGGAGACATATGCCAACATAAAAATGTCAGCACAAAAAAGTGATCATAAAAGAAAAAAACAAAGCCTGTGGCAAGTAGCAACTTCTAAAGAACAAAGCATTAAAAAAAGCAAACATTTGCAGCATCAACTAAAATCTGTTATTACTTTTATTCAAGAGAACAAAAATCAACACTGATCAGAGATCAGCAGGTTAGAAAATTAAACCAGTCCCCTCAGAGAACACACACTGGAGGAGGCAAAGAAACTGAAATGAGCCAAAATACACAACTCTGTATTACTGAATAGATTTTGGTTTATCATCCTTTATTTTAAAAAAGTGCTCAGTTGTTTTTTTTTTACTAAACAAAGAAAGTCTAGGTTTAAAAACTTAACTTTTAAGTTTAAAGAATACGTTATGATTTTTTTCTGATTTTTAGGTTTTTCTGCATGATTGATATAAAACTCAACATTTTAAGTCCAAACAGCAAATCAAAAATATTTACAATGTTGCGATGTTTTATGGATCGCAAACATTTACAGATTTCGTCATTTTTTAAGTTATTAATTAAGATTTGGCAATATGAAAGCACAGATCCTATTTTATTACTTCCTCGTTTAAAAACAAAACAGTCAAAAGGGGCGGCACAGTGGAACAGTTAAATCTATTAAACCCTAAAACTAAGTCTCTTGTTTCAATGCCTTTTAAAATGAAAACATAGTAATTGTAAATAATTGTAAAAATAAGACCTCACGAAAATAAGGTCAGCATTATGCTAAATGAAGGCGATCTTTACAGTAAAATCATCCTAAAACCCATACTGGTTTTAGGAAATATTGTGAACCAGAACTTTTAGAACATTTTTTTTATCAACTGTTTGATCTGTATTGACTCTGAAGACTATAGAACAACCTAGTTAAGTAACTTATAAGTGGAATGGTTTAGATCAACGCTCAATAGTGTCTTAGAGTAGCCCAGGCTCATCCTAAAACCCATACTGGTTTTAGATCACTTGTGGGAAGTCTTATGAAGTTGAAACACATATCAGACTATTTGAGTCATTTTGCAACAAAGAACGAGGAAAACATTCAGTCTGATGTACAAAGGTGGAAAAAGAAATCACAGAAAATAAAAGCAGTTGTAATTGAAAAGAGTTAGTAGCTGCAATCGTCAAATACTGACAAAACACAATTGATTGAGTGGATTGGGGATGAAGATGCCTGCATAGTTTCATATTTTTATTTGTAAGAAATCTTATTTTGAAATTCTGAGCCACTTTAAGTTGATCTCTATCACATAAAGTCGCAGAGATGATGCTGACATTTGTGGCGAGAGAGAGCTTGAGTACATCCACCGTCACATCCCGTCATCCGGAGATTTCTTTGCACAGCAACAGGCACAAACGCAGAAAACGCCTCGCAAAAGCTGCAGAAGACAGCTGATATTTAAAGGAAATTTTTTTTGATGTGGCGCAGTCATTCAGATAATGCAAGAAAGATCAAGTGGCTTGGGCGTGGATCCACTAAAAAACACAAGTAGTGGAATGGAACTGGCCCACAGCTGCCCAAACACCCAGCATTAATCACCCCCCTCTCAGCCCTCGCCACAAAAAGACAACCCTCAGCCTCCAAATACCAGGGTGTATAGGGTGGGGGGCAGGGGGAGGGGCTGCCAGCTACTGCAGGACAGCTGGGAGCATAAAAATAAAAGCTCCTGACCAGCTGTGACTCAAAGAAATGTCCCACCATGACCACCACACCCTCCACTCACTGCAAATCGGCTGCCATTAAATATGTAGACTAATGGAGGTTTCTAAATTTACACACACACACACACACACACACACACACACACACACACACACACACACACACACACACACACACACACACACACACACACACACACACACCTCAGGTTTTATTGCACAGAACAGACGTGTGGCTGAGCGGTGAGGAAGAGCTGCTATTAGGCACAACCTAGTGAGGGGCTAGGAGCCGTTTTCTGCACCTTATGAACATTTGTTGGCAATTAAATGGAGGGAAAAAAATAGAGGAAGCATAAGTTTATTTTCTGAGTTAAGCACGCTACGATTGTTACAGTAAATCATAATGGAATTACCCTCATAAAAGCCAGAAGAGGAAAATATAAGCAGTTTAAATATACTTTAGAGCAAAACAAAATTTAAGTATGTATATTGTTTTAAACAGCACAGTAAAAATATTCTATTTGTCACAAATGTTTTCAAATCAAACAGATTTCAAATGTGCTGCAAAAAGGATAAAATTTGACCAAGTATTTTTAAAAAAAAAAAATCTTATTCCTAGTGCAAATATCTTAATTAAAACAAAAACAGAACTTTTCAGCACGATGTAGCAGCGTGTTTCAGGTCAATGATTCTGGAGATTTGATTAAATGTTCTACTTGCAACGGCACGGGAATGACCATCACCTCCCACAGAGCCAGGCTGCTTCAGACAGCTTTTCACCAACGTTAGTAGATGAAATCAGGTTTGTTACCGTCTAACATTAAAACTTGAAATCATTTTTTAACATACCTGCAAAATGTCACTGAGATCCAGCAGCATGTCTGAGGAAAAAAGGTCAAGGCAAACAGGATGAAAGGAGGAACACAGAAAGGTTGACCAGACGGGAAAGGACAGCTGCGGCTGATGACGGCTTCACTTCAATATTTTCTTTGAAACAATATTTTGAGAAAATAAATAGATAAACGTTCCTTTGTCATAAACTTTGTGTTTTCGAATGAGAGCAACACTCAACGCAGAGCAGTTCTTTTAAGCAGTGATGATTTGAACTCATCTAGATTCATTAAAATCAACATAGAAATACTTTCATAAACCCAAAGGATTTTAGAATTAAATATATAATCTACAACAAAACGGTTGAAAAACAAAAATGATTATAGTGAAATTACCCAAAGACAAATCAAAAAGGAAGTTGAGTAACTGACATGAAGAACATAAGGAAGATTTTTATGAACTCACTGAAATTGTTGCTTTTGATGTGTCTATCTGGCTGTCCTGTACAAATTGGGATCAATTTTAATTTCCAACATTTTAAAGAAAAAAAAACAAAAACGGAAGCCTAATTACATACTAGTCCAAAAAGTGTTTCACAAAAATCAAAACACAAAAACGCTTCGGCATCATCAACCTCTGGATGTCTCCTCGTCCTCGTGCTCAGCTGGCGCAGACATTTGGTTGCCGTGGTTACAGTGTCTCCGTGGCGACAGGTGCACCTGTCTCCAGGGTGTCAGGCTGGATTAACGAGGCTCCTCTGAAACAGGCCTCACAATAGAATTAGCAGGCGTGCAGATGAGATGGAAAACATAATCCCGGCACACGCCACCTGGAGATTAACGGACAACCTGCGACTGAGGAGAACCAGAACCTTAGACACACATCTGGGTTCTGCTCATGAGCACCGGGTAGGGCACAAGGTCCAGTTTGATGGCTGGAACAGATTGTTCTAAGATGTAGAACAAAAAGCACAGCGGTTCATATGAGCAATGAAAAGCTTTCAGGTAGATAAGATCGACTATTTAGCCATCAAGTTTGAATGTTTCTGCAAACACAGTACAGACAACACAATTCAGCAAAGCCTGGCACTGAAAGGACCGTAAAGCATCTTCAGATCTTGATGCTTGAAAAGCTCTTTTCTGTGCTGTTCAGTCCTTTCTAGAAATGTTCATTTGGATAAAAGTCCAAATGAAGGGGGTCGACCTCTGAAACCAACTAAGACTTTCCTTAGCTTAGTTAGTCACTATTGTCTTGCTTAATCCATACTTTAGCTCAAATTCTCCACCTGTACTCTGAACAGTAATGTGACATAAATGTGCTTATTAAAGATGCAGTACGTAAAAATTTAAAATGTTCAGCTTTATATTATGTTATTTCCTCATCAAAATCATATCAGGAGTCTTGCTTTGATTCTTTCATGCATGTTTGAGAAAACCTTCAATCTCCCATGGCAACCATTCGGGCACGGCTAAACGCTCGCTCTCACAAAGCTCCGCCTGCTTCCACAAAGCTCCTCCCTCTGAGCTGCAGTCTCCAGCAGAGTTCCTGCCTCTCAGTGTACACCTCTCTCCCCCATTTCAGCTCCTCCAGACTAGTAGCAGCAATTAGTAAACATTCGCAGGAAATGGGAGTCTGCTGAGTTCATCATAGAAACTTATCAGTCCAACTCTCCAAAGAGCTGTTGTAAATGCCATAATGTAGCAGTAGTGTTGTGGTGACATGTCAAAGCCAGAGTCAGCGAGTCGGAGCATCTTAAAGGGACATAAGCCCAATTTCAAATCGTTAGAATTGTGAATTCAATTTTCTTTTCAGTTCTTTTTGATGTATGCTGTATTTTATAGAAACTGAAGGAGCAGTTACTTAACTGTGCTATAAAATGACGAGTGTTTTGTAGAACTTTGCAGCACCATCATCTGAATAAAATGTGAATGTTTAGAGGTAAAAACTTATGAGACACACCACAACTGTACAATTATTTACTTACTGTATTTTTCTCCAAAGCCAATGTCCACAATAAAAAAAAAAAAGCAACACTTCAAACTGAAGTAAAACTGTGTGACCGGACCAGCTGCGAACCAGAGCGAGTCATGGCTCGGGTTCTCTGCCGGGCCTGCTGGTTTACTGCTGTCACCAGAAAACAATGCATCACTGCATTCCTCCAAGCAGTACATTAAACTCAAATTGGGTTTCTTCTTTTGAAACAAATGTCATTGTTCTTATAAAGGTGAAAAAGCATCTGGTCAAAGAAACATTTTTATCTGTTTGAGATTACAAAGACTTGTTATATATGAACACCTCAGCACAATTGCTACTAAAAAGTTGATACTATCTGTCCATCATGTTTCTCTGGGGTTTGTTACAAACTGTAAAGCCTTGACCCATCATTTGAAGGCCAGTTCGAGTGAACTGGCCTTCTCTGTCCACCAGGAAGTTGGGACATTGGTACACTTTTATTTCTGGGGCCTTGCTTGGGCTGCTGCCCCCCTACATCTGTGATATAATCACAGATGTAGGAGTTGTATTATGATTACATGAGTTGTATTATGAGTAAATACTCAGGCTCTGTGTTCAAATGATCATTTCTTGCTCTTTGTCCCATTTCCCCACACAATTGGGAACAACGGTCTTTGTTTACTTTGTCTACTATGTTGCAAGAAGACTGGAAATTAATTGAACTTATTTCATTCTGCATTTTTAAGTCCAGAGCATTGGAGACAAATTCATAAAATTGTGACAGTTTTTAATAATTTTTTTAACTGTTGTGTAACCTTTGCCGCCTCCTCACCAGGATTCTAGGTTTTTGATCCCAATTGGATTTTCCTGGTTCATGGAGCAGTACGACATAACTTTTTTGAGCTTTACATCAAAACATGTTATTCCCTCATCAAAAACATACCCGGAGTGTTGCTTTGATTCTTTCATGCATGTTTGAGAAATACTTTAATCTCCCTTAGCAACAGTTCATCTGTGCAAAACGCCTGGGTGGACCTAGCTACACCTTCGAAACGCAGTTACCAAACTTCAGAGTTTCAATTCAGTCGTTCTCTAAGAGCATCTACTGTGCAACTAGCTTAAACAAAAACAACCATTTGCAATGTGTTTGATTGTGGCCTACAATCTTTCTTTGTCCAAGCTCCAGATTTTCATCCAAAATGTCTTTCGTTTTTCTCAAACATACCAACAACGTGTGGGACTCTGTGAACAGAAGTTCTTGAGATTTAAGAGACTTGCTGCTCTGATTGCAAGCGGTTTCATCCTAAGGAGGAACAAAATGTTCAGATTTAGATCAAGGCCACAGCAACCTGCTGATGTTAAGCAGCTCTTTCCTCCCCCAAGAGAAAGCCCAGTAGCATCCCAGTTCACAGATTCTGCATTGCTTAGCCTCTTTTAGTAACTGGGCTGACCTCTCTCATTGAGGGAATTTAAAAATAGCTAATGGAGATGCTGCTGGCCTTCAAAAAAAACGTTCTGCTTAGTCGTAGAGTCAGATAGGCAAGAAGTTCAAAGCGCTTGATGGTTATTTCTACTCGATAACAGGGGAAGTGGCAAAAAAGTTAGCGCTATAAAGTTAAAAGGAAACACAACGAAGGCCAGAAGAACAAAACTTGAAGCAGAACTGGCTGTGTGTGCATAATCCGTCTGAGGTCTAAAAATGGATCTGTGTTCCAGACTGTTGAGCATCTCTATGCTGTTGGTGCTCATTAAATTCAACTCCAGGTAAGACTGAGCCCTCCTCTCTTCCTCCTCCTTTTGTTTATGTCCTGATCATCTCCATGACTTCACCCAGCTGTGGAAAAAGGAGGAGGGGAGGCAACTATTTTTAACACAGCCTTCCCCCTCCAAACATGCGTGAACAGATAGGCCTGTGGAAATGAACCCACACAGAAACACAGACACAAACAGAAGCTGAGTCAACAACGCAGCAGCAAAGGCCTCACAGTCCCTGCTCCCCTCTCTTTCATCAGAATAACAAACCCGCCGGCGGTTGCGTAACCCAATCATCCTCACAGGCCAGACGCATCGGGAACGGCACGGCAAAGACACGCCGAGCCCAAATGTAAAGAGGCTCTGTGTTCATCAAGAAGTCCCAATGTTCTTCCTGTACTTTGAATGATAATGCTCCGCTGTAACATTTAGGTTTGTATTAATGCAACGTCTTTTGGAAAAAAAAAAGACTATTTGGTAGTTGACATCTTGAGACAGCTCAAGATGTCAACTACCAACACCATTTCTAAAAATATTTAAATTGAAGCAGTGGAATGAACTTTACATGCAAGAACATCTGACAGCAGTTAGTGAGGAGTGGTGCACACATTCGTCAGACTGATCCCAGAGACTGTAGGGTGCTTCATTCAGAAATGTTTTTGATATGTTCTAGTAAATAAGTCAAATAAGGTGACTTTTTGTTATTTAGTTGTACATTTTTGTTTTGCCATGAAAGAAGACTGACTGATAGTTTTTTCTTTAGATGAAAGAATATACTCATTGACACACAGCACACTTGGTTACAGAAAGGATACGAGGCGTTCCCTCGGTACGGCAGACCAGGTAGATGCAGGCAGCCATGATGTGATCCGACTTGCGGCCGCGTGTCAGGGTTTTATTGAGGGCCATCTTGTAAAAGTTGAAGGCCGTGTCCAGGCAGTGCTGGTTCAACTGTAGCTGGTGGCCCAGGGTGTTGATGTGTTGTTTAGCTGAAATCACAAAACCACACATTCAGAATAATTACAGAGGAAGAAGTTGTTCTACTTATGCCCTATAGGATTTGGAAGCATAAAATACCTCAATTATATTACCATATCAGTGTGTGAAATTTCAATATTGTAAAGGACAGTGTGGAGTTTAATTATTGTTGGCTAGCATATTCTACGTGTCATAACTCGCATTTTTCATAACACTTTTCCTCTGTCCAACTAGCTACATTAAATGTAGCTAGTTGGACACTTTTTGAAACTACAAAAAATATTTAAACTTTTTTTTGATAGTCCAATTTTTAGATGTAGCTGGAAAACCATTCAATTCAAAAGTTTTTATGTATCAAGTAGCTTCAATGCATTTTATTTCAGGATACCAAAGTACAAGGCCATTATAAAGTCATACCAAAACATTCAGATTTTGTTTGTAACAAAAATAAAAACAAAAGTGTTGAAATTAATATATCATTTTCCTTTTACTTGTCACATCATTTCACAATGACGTGACATGTTGTGCTGATGTATGACATAACATACAATCCAATGTGATAAGTTAAAAGTTGAATGATTTATTTTACAAAGTCAATAAAGATCTAATTGCTTAAATTAAATAGTGCTGCTTAAAATTTAAGCTGATGGTGCTGATTTACGTATTTTATGTCGTGTTGGATATCGACAGCATGGTGGTTCCAGCTGGTAAAATAATAAACCACCATAAGCAGAAATGATTCATAACCCAAGAGAACAGTCTAACGCTCTGTAAGAGCTGCTGTTCTTACAGAATACTGCATGGAACATGACAGTATTCTGTCATGTTCCATCCATCATTACAGTGGTATTATTATTGCGCAACTGCAAAGATTACATGAGTCGTATTATGAGTAAATACTTGGGCTCTAATGAGCAGCAGACTCACTCAAACACATGTTCCCCATCTGCAGACACACAGACTCAGGTACAACAGATGGAGAGCCAGGTCAAAGATGATTGCACTAAGTGCTGCCAGTGAGCTGTGGTGTGTGTGTCTGTAGTTCATGACCTCATATGTGCTAAACAGGTCAACAAAAGTTAACACACAAAGCCAGATGTGTGACCTTACTGAGTGGGTTGTCTGGGAATGTGAGGAACTTGGGTTCATCATACTGAGTGGATGTGGAATCACAACGTATGTACGCTGTCAGACAAACGCACGTTATCAGAGCCTACTCTAAACAATCCTTTATAGCTGCTCGTCTTGTTCACTTCAATTAATCGTTCCTGTAATAAAAATCAGTATTGTTAAGTGGATTAGCACTTTTTGCTATAACAAATGAACTACAACAGGTTGGTGGGGAAATAGAGTTCAAATAAATCATATTTTCCTGACAGAAAGAGATCGACTGAACATGTTGTAAAGTCTAGATTTATGGGTAAATTTTAATGACACATAATTCAAATTTACACAGATCAGGCTTTTTTTTATTTGGTCACTACCAATAACCATTCAAGCCTAAAAGTTTCAGTTAGTCTGAATTGCTCATTTCAAATGTCTGTCTACACACATTTCAACCCATTTGTGTAAACCACATATTTCCTGAAAGAGATAAACATCAAACAATGAGATTAGAAGATTCCAATCATTTATGCATACAGGACTTATCTGATTTTTACTACAGAGCATGTGGTTTCTTGATGCCTACACAAGCAGGTTGGGAAAACTCTTTGTCCAATCAGTGAAGGCACCTTAGACAAACTAATAGGTAATGCTGACAACACTCTTCAGCGTGGATGCTACTATTGAGAAAAGACACAAAGTTAATACTTTTCAGTATGTGAAATGTCTAAAAATCAAGTCAGAGGAAGAACAGAAATGTTGACTGCTTACATTCATCAATCTTCAAAAAGCCTGACCTGAAGTCCTGCTATTTGTTGATTTTTATTGAAGCCAAGAATCGTCAAGCAAAACTAACAAGTCTACAAATGGTACAATTTAATGTAGAAAGGCTCCACATTGAACCAGCTGCTGTAGATCCAAAGCTAATGGCAATGATGGTTCATCATGTCAGAGACAATAAGCAGGAAGTGAAATCAGCCTGCAGCTTTGACTGGAGCTCCTGGTCACAGGTTCAACCTATTCACCCAACTGAGGATGTAAAGGCTTTATCCAAGCCCAGAGATGAACCATCATCATTTGATGACATTTACATAAAGAGGAAGTAGGACAGTGTGATGGTCTGACATTTACTCATCTATCTGACCAAGTCAGCCTGGAAACAAACACATACCGATGAGCTCTAAAGGAAAAAAAAAAAAATAACTTTTAGGGAAGCCAATCAGAGCAAGTAAAATAAACAGCACATGCACAGTTTAAACCTGGGATGGGTAGTTTGATATGTTAGTAGCTCAAAGCTGCTTTTCACTTGATATTGTATGGGCAGCAGATGTATGGTACAGCACCCACCGTTTGCCTATCTATCTGTAACATTAATTTATTGCAGACAGGAAGTGTCCAAACTTTTTCCTGTGAAAGTTCAACTGTCCCATTCCCAAAATGAATGCAACTCTGAATGGAATAAACATTTCAGAAGCTTTTTGAAAAAAGGAGCGGTGAAGAAAAACAGAAAAAGACTGCAGTAATATCTCTCTGTATTCTGTCATAGGACACCTCAACAACAGAATGGAGACAGTCTGACTATTTCAAACTCTTCTAAAAGTCCAGGTAGAGAGCAGTAAGCCAAAGAGGATACCACTGTACTAAATGTTCTGGCTGACAACGATTACCTAATTTTGGTACGGGGATGAGGTTCTGCATCAAGTGGAGGAGTTTCATGATCTCAGGATTTTGTTCACAATGTAGGAAAAATGGAGCGAGCGATCAATAGATTCTATTTTGTTGAAGAGAGAGCTGAGCCAGAATGAAGATACAGATGGACGGATAGAGTTAAACCTTTATTCAGTTAAACACTGAAATGTTTGTTTTGAATGTTTTTTCACTCTTTAGATGCCCAGATGAAGTTGGTATTTGGAATCCTAATTTCACACTAAAGACATCCTTCTTTCTCTTCTGTTCTTCTAAAGGAATTCAGACCACACGTATTGATAAAAGATGATCATCGCATTGCAAACTTTTTCCCAATCTATACAGTCCCTATCCACTAACGGCAACACACACCGTCTAAAATAATCCTTGAATGTTTTGCTGTTACTCAGAGCCCGCAGTAGACTGATTACTCTGTGACTCGGTTAATGAGTCAGACTGAGCAGACGGTGGGAGTAGCCCAGAGCTTCTCTCTGCCCTGTAAAAGAGTTTAGTTTTACTGAACAAGAAGTGAGACTCAACAATGAAGAACTCTGAGGAAGAAGAGAACTGCAGATATACTCAAGCTAGACAATGTATCCAAGTCATTTCAGATATTTCTACTGCAGCTCCATTGCAGATTCTAAAGTTTGTTTCTCACTAAAAAGAATGGCAGCACAGGTAAGGTGTGCAGGGAGCTGCATTTGTATGACTAGTGTTTGAATGGCTTTTTGTGAGAGGAGACCCAGGGCAGACATGCTAGGCCCAATTATGCAGTGACATATGGAGAGAATGAAATGCAGCATGTTCATGCAAATACTACACTGCACCAGCATGGTGGTGAAGCAAGACCAAACAATCAACGTTCCACTAAGATTAGATCATGAGGTGAATCTGTTCATAACGTATTCTACTGCAAAATCTGAGGGGTTCTGAAGCTTTGTCCTCACTGGGCCGTCAGCAGGACAACGAATGATCCCAAACGCAGCAGCAAACCTGCGACAGAGTGGCTGACAGAAATGAATCAAGATGTCTCAACGGTCCAGTCAAAGTCTGGACCTCAACCTGATTGAAATGAACAGAGCTGTGCAGAAAGAAACGTGTGCAAATGTCTGCATAAAGAGTGGGCTGAACCTCCTGCAGTCTGATGGAAGACACTGAGAGTTATTGCTGTCAGTGTGGAATCTGATGTGTGAGTTTATACACTGAAGGTTAGCGTTAACTCATTTTACAACCAGGTCATTTTCATTGATTTCATTCATTTGTCATGATATGTAAAGTAACATAAGGAATGCACTTTAATTCCTATAACAGTATAAATGTAGCAGAACCTTAAACATGCTTCAATTAGATAAGCCACAATATTTAAACTATAGGTATACATTATTGACAAAAAAGCACAAAGTTTTATTCTTTCATTGCTGTCCTGCATCCAAAAGACTAAACACAGACTTCAAGATTTAAACACAGATCTATGACTAACCCAAATAAACGGAACCCATAGAAATGTTATGAGCTATCATTTATTACATAAACTAGCTAATTATAATCCCATAATGATTGAAAATAACCAGAAAACAAAAAAATATTGATAGTCATTGGCAGTTGTAATCTGCCAATTACTGCCATTTAATGGTAGGTTTGTACCTTCTGTCACCTTTGCAAGAGTTTCCACAAGAGTTGGTTGAGTTGGTTTGGCTCAGGTTTGTTTGATGAATCCTCCCTCAGCATCACTCAAATAATGCTTGAGTGATCTTTGGTCTTTTAGTTGTGGAACAAAAAAAAGAAGGAAAAAACGAGGCCTTTCAGAGTCTGTGAAGACCAAAAGTTGAATAATGTGTCCCGAGTCCAAACCTCTTCTGTCCAGCAGGGAGACTTTACGTTACTCATCTTTTTAACATTTATGTGGTAGCATGTTAAAGACTCCATGAAATGTTGAGCAAAATCAACATCACTCTTTATGTTTCTTAATTTCATCCAATTTGGGAGGAAAAAAATATAAAAAAAAAAAAAATCAACTTTCAAACGTTTAGCTAAAGTACTGTGGCTCCCTCTGCTGGTCACTTACCTCTCTGCAACGTCTGAGCTCTGGACTCTGACCCCATCCCTGAGAAGTGTCCATCACCAAAAGTTGGATTTTTAAGACCACCTAAAAAAAATAATGAAAGGTTGTAAGTAACTCAAAGCACAAAGTGCTGAAATGTCAAACTGATTTCTAATACCATTCACACCAGTAAGACCATTTTAAACCTTGAACAGATTCCAAAAATAAACACAAATTATAAATTGGCTAAAATAAAAAGAAAAGGTGAAGATTGACATCACCATCAGAGACCAACAAGATAATCTAAAGAAACCTGTGATTCTACAGCGCACTCTAGTGACCAAAAGGCTCATCTGCAATTGAAAACTGGGCAGTCTGATGAGACAGAATTGAAATACTGACATGTAAATGTCTTTAGCCTAACAATTATTCAAAATGTATCTTTTATTGCAGTAACATAAGCTCACTCTGGAAAATTTAGAATACTACAACTTCTAATTCAATTTAAATACATTTATTTATTGGGGTGGGATCATCAGTGTGACCCATTAACACTTCCTAAAAAAGTAAAGCAAATAAATAAAATATTAATATTTAATTTTGCATACCTTTTGAGTTTTTGGTCAATTTTAATTAGTAATCCATAACTGTGTGTGTATGTGGGGTATATATATGACATAACACAGAGACTAATTTCTCTTAGCAGCAAAGAAAACCAGAATCACATTTAAATATAGGAGATGTGTGTTGATCCTCTAATGCAAAAAAGAAAAAATGACCACTATAGAAAGCTTTAGCATATCTTAGTAATAATAATAGTAATAACTTAACTGGCACTGCAAGGAACAAGGTTGGACCAGGACCACACACAGCCAGCTGTATGAGAAAGGTGTGATAAAATGATCTCTGCATGAGGATTGGGACACTGGGGGGCCCAACAGGTCCCAGGGGAGCCGGCATGTTAGGATGACCACATGCAGGAGTAGACAGCCTAACATGGACACCAGGTTCCAAGACTGTTGGGACCTGGCATCTTTCCTCTGTCATTCCAGCAGAGGAACTGAGATTGGTAATAAAATACAGACTGAAGACAAATAAACCAAAACTGAATAAACAGTAAACTTAAATGTCTAATGACTTAAGATATGCCCAACTCTATCCAAAGATGAAAAACCAATCATTCAGCACATGGACTTTGACATGGATTCCAACTTCACTTCAGGGCCAACGTCTGTCAATGAGACAAAATGCAACCTGTCCAAACCCAGGTGAGAAAAATTCACAGTCCTGCTTGGTCAAAACTTTTATCTTAAGTAAGACAATTGGAACAGGTTCACTGAATGGACATATTATTAGTTAGTTGTATGTTCTGAGCCATTGTTTTGTATTAATGATTAGTAATTTAGCCTTCCCCCGCCCTCAAAAGTTACTCTGTTAATTTTGAAATTTGGAATGAATCCAAGAGTGTTTTCACACCTGATAGTGTGGTAGACTCGGTTCTATAGGGGACCAAAATTGCAACATTTGCTACATTTTCAGAAGTTCACTTTCACACCGCACTCCAATCCAAGCTAATTGAAAAACCTGTTCCCTTCCTTGCCTGTGGGGGCGCTGCACCAAGAACCATGGAAGGAAACAACAGTTGCTCTCAGCTTCCTTCTCCTTTTGTGACAAAGAAAATACAACTTTGTCACAAAATGTAAAACAAAATGGAGTGGTGTGAAATTTTAGCGCCTGTAGCACTCCAGTGAGCCATTTCTCCCGCAAGCTAGGCTAGCACGTTTGTTTTGGTTGCATTTACCCAGAATGCTTTGCACTGCAGTTCACTACCTGCTTCTGGAGTGCTCTCTTGGCATTCACATGTGCATTCAAACCACACCAGCATTCACACCAACCAATCTGTGATCGAGGTTTGTGGGTGGATCAGTTTGATGAAACCTCCCAAACTAACCAGACTCTCGAGACAAGCGAACCAGAAGTTTATTAAAGCAAACTAAACAGGGATAGTGTGAATGCATCATACTTTAAGGTTACATAGACATTTTATTGTTCATTAGCTCCAGCTTTCAGTGCCATAATCATCTCCCTGTTTTTTGTAACTTGTGTGAACAAGTCCTTCTTGTTCCAAAATGAAATTGTGAATCTGAACAATGCTAAGCTTTATAAAATAAAAGTGGAAAAAGAAATAAAACCTCACACCCCAACAAACCAGAAACTACCATGTTCGCACCTTCTGAAGACACAAACTGTCCAACAGCCAGGGAGCCTCCGCCGCCCGTCTCTACAAACTCCACCTCGGAGACGATGATGCTGTCCTCCAGAACGGAGCCGCAGCCCATGCAGACGGCATCGCCACGCGCCTGGTCAACGTCGATGTCCGAGCTGCCGCAGTGCTTACACACCCTGGAGCTCATGGTTTTGCTCTGCAGATCTCCAAACCTGAGTGAAAATATGGCAAGATGTCAAATATGAATTCCTTGATAAAATAAGAACAAAAGTAAAACAAAAAATAGTGAAACATGTATCACTGCCAGAGGGGGAACCAAGAGACCCTCTAAGCACTCAGAGCATTTAGAGAAATGCACTGGGTCCAAATGTACTGGGTCCAGCACATTTTTAGTTACTTTTAGGATGAACCTTATTAGGAATGCAGAGTATATCTGCATCAACATTGGTATAAGTCAATGTTTGTCTTCTTTTTTATTAAAACACATGGTATTGGTATGTAAAACTGTGCCAATATTAACAACCAACATTTATTTCCATCTAGTTGTCATTTGTGTTTCTAGAGCAGGAGGTGACTTCTTACTGTAACTCTGTGGCTTTTGTAGTTTGTTGACCCTTCTGGGCCGCCATACAGACAGCTATAGCGTTTAAGCACACAAATTCTGAGGTAATTTTCTAATGGAAGCTATGTAATTACATATACACTCCAAGTTCCAGTCAATCCCAATAATTATTTGATTAATTCACATAATACAAATAGAAAGTTTACAGTTTATAAGTTTCAAATTTTCCCCCACTTAACTTCTTTTTGAAAATGTCTTAAAGGTTGTTGCAAATCAACAACATTTGCAACCCTAAATGATCGAAATAAACTATTTAAAACGTCAACTTTCTTTCACAGGTTGGTCTTTTAGTACAAACAAGAAACTATGCTCTTGTGTAATGAAACTTTAATACTAAAATTCTGTCTTGCAACACCTATGTACTTGGCTTTGTGCAGCTGGTAGCTGTGCTGCATCATGGTGCCCAACAGCGTCTTTAGAGCCCGGGGCCTCCGAGAAATGGATGCGCCCCTACTGGAGTGTCTAAATTGATGCTGCGGTGTTTACAGTGCCTCATTCCGGTCACAGTATGGTTTCCCAGCACATTCTAATGTACCGCTGGACTGTACTGAGAAATGAACGCCTCTGCAGTGATTGTGCAGAACATCCCCCAGTGCTCTGCTCCCATCCCTCGGTCAGCGACGTGGCACACGTCTCGCGAACCTCCAACCCTCACTTTTATAAGCCAAGAAACAAACTTTTAGGAGAATTTAAAGAATAATAATGTGCTTTAGATGTGCTGGTTGTCTTTCTTTTTTCAGTGGCCATCATGGACTATTTGGGAGCCACCTGAAGCTGGGTGGGAGAGGCTAACAGACGTCTGAAAGACACCAGCAAAGTGTTGAACTCTACAAGACGTGTGTCTGCCGACACCATGTCAACGCTGTGTGGCCGCAGCGGCTCCATACCTTCAGTCCGTGAACTCCGACGGGAGCAGCGTCAGGTCACGCCGTGACGACGCCACCCTCGGTGAAAGTAAGTGTTTCCCACGAGAACGCCGTAACGCAGAGGCGTCGTATTCACTTCCACACTTCTGTCAAAGGCGCTGGGAGCGTGAGCGAAGCGAGCCGCGTGATGACATATTACGTGAGCCTCATATCTGCTGAAACACCGGCGCAATTCCCAGCACAACACCGAGCACGTGCGCCCGCTGAGTTGGGGAGACCCGGACGAGACCAACTTCAGAGGGGAGTGAGCGGAGAGGAGGGGCCAAAAACTGAGTTCAACCGCTGCTGCTTAATCTCTTGTATTACTGATTTACTCAGTACTATGTAGTGCAATATAAAAACAACCGTTTTTAAGACCGTAAACGAATACAAGCACTTTCGGATAATCATAGTTCCACCTATTTTGTTTTGGAACTTTCCAACTTCCGCCTAATTAAATGAATTACTGTATTTTAAAAATAAAAAGTTATTTCTTTGCTGTTTTTACGTCCCAAAATGAAGTTACGTTTATACCAAAGTCAAATAAAATTGCAGTCACTTCATTGCAATAAATTAATTTCCCTCATCTGAAAAGAAAATGTTTCATTTTTTTGAGTGTCAATGTGAACATTTTGTGTAAAAAGCTCCTATATAGATACAAATAAGAAACTAACCTGAGGTTCGAGAACTACAAGTAGCTCTCTGGACTATTTACGAATAACTTTATGAATAACTTTAGCTAAAAATCATGAAGACCCAATAGATGTTTTGAATATAGATAAAGGAATAAATGTTTTAGCACTCTGTCCACTTTTCCACATGAAATATTTGCACTTAAATTCCAGAAATAAAATCTTTCTTTTTTTTTTTCAATCAGGTTGGAAACTTAGAAGTTTTGGGATTTTTTTCAAAATCATTTTTCACAAATGTCAACATCCCTCAGAAGAAAATGTATCCATCCTCCTTTTATTTTTGGATCTCTTTTAAAGCTGTCACACATCAGCCTCCCAAACTCTCAGAATGTTTGGACTTCTGTTATCCCCATTAGATGGCTCCAAAGACTTTCTGACTAAATAAATTCCAGTCTCTCAACAGTTCATTGCAAAACCTACTTTCTTCCTCACAGTTATTTTGTTGTAAATGTCTGGGTACATGTTGCCTTACTTAAAATAATTAAATCCCTTCCTCATGTTTAGCAGACACTAGAATATCATGGGTTAAATAAAAACAATAAATAAATACAAAACCCAAGCTCCTTTTGGAAAAAGGCAACCCCTGTACATAATGCTGCAGTTGCTATGGTAACCAGATTATTGTACAGTATATTTGTTTGTTTTAGATGACTAAACTCAGGCATATGCTTATATTTGTACCTGTATGTTGCATTTAGAGCACTGATAACTAATTTCATGAAGTAGACGAGACATTTCTTACTCCTGGGTTTATGGGTCTCTTACTAATTGATGCATGAAGCATCGTCAGCCATTTTATTTTGATAACACATAAAGCCAGAAGAGGTGATAGCAAAACAACCACCTGCATTAATGTTTTTGAAAGACCAAAAATGCCATTTGTGACACAATAAACAAAACAACGACAGAAACAAAGAAGATGTTATATATAAACATCTGATTTTATTTTGAACATAAAGGTCCAACAACACATGGCACCATCAGCAACATAAGAAAAAAACAAACAGGGTAGTGTACTCAGAGCAGAACAAATTGCACATGTACACAATGGCAGTTTACATTTGATTAAAAAATATATATAGAAAGAATTATAATGAAGGCGTTGCACAGTCTGCCACTTCATTTAAAGTACAGTTTTGTTTCTTGTTCATGTCTCTTTTCTGGGGTTAGGGTTTGCCTTTCTCCATCTTCTAAACACTCTAAATCATGTGATCAAAAACAAAACAAAAAAACCATCTGTGCGTTGATGAAGAAATGTGTTTTAATTCGTGAGGTGAAGGTGGCATGCCAGCAGACATTTTGCTGATATATTTTGTGCTATAAGAATCATTTTGATGTTCATGTGGAGAAATAAGATACACGCCGATACACATGAGCATTTTTGGGGGGGATCAGCGACACTACAGTAACAAACATTGGCATCTGAATTGTTACTGAGCAGTTTTACTAAAGAATCTCCTTGTTAAATGATTGGAGCTCCATAGAGAAGTCAGTTACTGACCAGAATCAAGATATTTAGCTCCACAGAACCACAGAGGCAATTCGTTCTCCCCACATCGACTCTAAAGAAGTTTCTTGAGAACTTTTGAAAAGTTCTCAAGAAATGGACTTTTAAACCAGAAGTTCCTTTAAAACCATATTTCCATAAATCCTCTTCATAAATCACCACATGCTTTCAAATCATTCATGTTAACATGATGTCACGTCCACCTCACTACAGCAGAGATTATAGAAGTGTAGCAGCATGATGGAAATCGCTGCACCCGTCTGCAACCTGTGGCTCTGGAGCCACAAGGGGCCCTTTAGAGCTCCAGCTACGGCTCTTCATGACTTAGACTAAAAATTAAACAGTAAGCTAATAGGTTTTAAATGTACATACAATGAAAAAGAGGTTTTTTTAAAACAGTTTTCAAATTACTTGGTTTTATTTTTATATTATCACATGATAGGTCTGTTGCCAGGTAACCATTTCTCAGAGTTACTGTAGTGTGTTGCCTCTGCTAAAATGCTCCACATCACACCGAGGTGACAAATCAAAATAAAACCCATAAAGTGACTAGAATACTTCAATATAGTTTAGTTTAAAAAAAAAAAGATGGAAGAACAGACAGGATGTTATTCAAAGCAGGAATAGTTAACAAAATAGCTCATAGAAAACTTGTATACATGAAACTACAATTAAAGTTTCTGTGTTTCTTCCTCACTTTGGTCAGTGAATAGTCTGAAGCTCATTAGACACAGAAGCAGACAGGAGTGCAAGTTAGTCAAAAGTTTGGGGAAATAAAACAAAGACAATAAACCAAAAAAAGGAGCGGGTGACATCATCCTATCAGAAACTGGACAGATGGGTTTGTTTTCTGGGTTTGGCCTCATCCAGAAAACCCTGAACATTTAGACAATCTTTCGGTTCGTTTCTGTGCCTCCTTTCTTGGCTGTTGCCTGTAAAGCTGATGACCTTCTTCTTCTCATTTCCTTATTTGATTTTTAAATTATGCACATATTTTGCACTTGACTGAGAAAGTTTGTCAGTACTCTGTCCTCCCTGGCACTTAATATTTCTCACTTACGCCTCAGAAGTGGTTTTCGACTGTAATTAGCAAAACCACTTCAAGAAATCCATCTGATTTGAACGTTAGCAAGTTAACATGTTCATGCACCTTTAAATTAGAGACGGACAGCTAGTACCCAGTGTTGGGGACTTTAAGGTCAGACGTACTACAGTCAGACAGATGGGTCGCAGTAACTATGGCTTTCGGTGTGGAAGTCATTACTGAGTGAAGAGTGACAGTTAATCATTTTCACCATCAGTGAGGTGTTCCACAGGAAGCACAGAGATGGAAGAGGCCTAGTAGGTTTTCTCGACAGGAAGGATACAAAGAAAATTCTGCCGTTGTTCTTTAGGAAAACAATTGTTTGGGCAGGTTAGAGCGTTACAAAACTCTGAGACTGGAAACAGGCGCCAAGAAAATTCAGATCCATGCATTTTGCTGCACAACATAAGAAAGTGGCAGCATAGAAAAAAAGCTCTAGAAGAAACACAATTGCTGTTTTCAAAAAATTTTAAAAATAGTTTAAAAGAGCTAATGTAAAGTAGTACTGAAGGTCCAGTTCTTACTTGGTTTTCAAAGGAATTCAGATGACAACTACAGCTTCTTAATGCCAAGGAAAGATGAAAATATCTGTATCTCAACCTTGTGCCAAAAGTTAATCTGCATGTTTCCTTTAATGTGCTTAGGAACGGTTTGGAACTGGAAGATCTGCTGAAGATACAACTTGGTTCTGTCATCCCTGCACAAACAGCAGCGAGTAAAATCCCTGTGCAATAAACCGAGTGTAAAAAGTGTGTTGTGCAACCTTCATAAGAATACAGAGAAACATTTCTGGATTAATGTTAAAGCCTCCAACATTAGCAAGCCTCAACATCCTGTAAAAATGTTTAATCTCCTTTTAGAAAGATTTCTTGCCCCCCCCCCAAAAAAAACAAAAAAAACAACAAAAAAAAAAACAATGAAGAGCTGGCATATAGAACCGATAAGAGATCAGATGGATAAAGCGAATCTGCGGCGATGAGAGCAAACCCGATCTGAATCTGACTCGGCTGGAAAACACTTGGGTGGGTTCTGTCTCCGTTCCCCTCTGGCCGTCACTGGTCTCGAGCTTCATGCAGCAGCTTGGCCGCCTGTCGTCAACACAACACCTTCCCTTTAATAATGGAGACTATTACTTTTTCACACAGTCAGATAGGTTTGGATTTTGTCCTCCATTCTAAATAAGCACCTTTATTTAAACACTACATGTTATGTCCTCTTTATGTCTCTTTGTCCAATACATACATTTGTTGATCTAAAACACTATTATTTATTCTACATTTTATTTACAATTCCTAATTGCACTTTCTAAACCAGTTTATTTTTACATGTTTATCCAAGGTAGTCAACCTATTGTTTTAGTCAGTTTCTCTAGTATTTATTTTCCATTAGCTGTTCTACTCCTAACAGCACTGACTGGACAAATTAAAGCTGTTTTTTCATGTTTGACCAGCTGGTGGAGCTGTTGGTGTATTTCAGTGATGGTACTGGTGCAGAGGTAGCAGATAAATAATAATTCATATTCAGGGTGGTTTCCTGTACCTTGTGCATTGCAGCGAGCCACAGCGATCCCACCTTCTTGTCTTCTGCAGCCTCCATCTGTAGCTGCTGGGCATCCTGGGAGCCCATTGGTTTGTAATGGAGGAGCATCCCACTGGCCCGCGATGTCCCTCCTACACACACACACACACACACACACCACCAACTCAATACTGTTTGGAAAAGTATCTGTCTGTCTGGACTCAAACATCAGAGAAAACTTGACATTAAATAGAGTAACTGGATGAGATGAGATATGGGAAGTAACTAAAATTGAGCAAAAAGGAAAATGGGAGAACAGTTTTTTCCCCTCGGACTCCAAAGGGTGTAAAGTAAAGTAATTCAGGTGTTGCTTTCATGCAAACTCCAGGATGGGGGAATGGGATGGGGTGACATCAGGCCGGGACAGAGGGTGGATGGAGACGCTGAGGGGCGAGCAGCAGCCAACCTTCAGAGACACAGAGGCCGTCCAGCAGGCTGGTGTAAGTGTGAACGTCTTCCTCTGAGTCCAGAGGAAGAGCAGAGCCGTCAGCGCAGCAGTGTTAGAGAACAAAGACATTCTGCTGTTATCGTCTAATGACATTCAAAACAACTCATTTAAGAAGAGCTAGAAAAACGAAAAGGACGCAAAAACTATTTATTCCCACAGCTGCAGAAATCAGGAAAACTCCACTGAGCTGAAACTGTGATGTTTGTAGCGTTTTACCTCCTGGACTCGTCCCGTCGGTCAGTATCTGCATGCTGGAGATGCGGGTCAGCTCCACCTCAAAGTGACTTTCACCATCCAGGAACAGGTATCTGATGAGAAGGTTGAAATAACAAACAAACAAACAAGAGGACTCGGTCTCCCTTCTCATTTAAAGGGTAACAACGTTTGACTAACATTAGTGAAGGCTTTGGCAGGTCAGAGCGTTCAGCACTGACCTGTGGTTGTTGGAGAGGCGGCAGGTCATGGTTTCAGATTTATCTGATGTTCCCAAAGTGACGACAAACGTCCCTCCTGGAAAAACAAAACAAAAAGTCTGAAGAGGGCAACATCTTTCACACTTTCTTTTTTCAAAGATTAGCTTGGTGATACTGTTTTTGGGACAAAAAGAAAAAGACTCAATGATTCAATTTTAAGTAAAAACCAAACTATTCTGGTGCTGTGGTGGCGCAGGGGCAAAGCATAACCCACACCAGCACCAGGACTCATTTAGTCCTCATGCTGGTGGTCGACACCCTCTTTCCTGTTGAACTACTTTCAAATACTGGAGCCAACAAAACTACTCACTGGAATTAGGTCAAAGTTATGTGTGAAGAACATCTCAGCAGTAAGACGGCTCAAAGTGTTTTTCAACACTTTCAATTAGTTCCTTTTTTGAAGGATGGTTTTGTTCACCGAGATTTCATAATTCATTTTATTTGTTGTTTGTGTTTTGTTTATTCATCTTGGATATTTAAGATGTATTCCAGTTCCAGTGTTAAATATTCACCAGAACTTAAGGTTTATTGATCTTTGAGAATGTGTCCTTTCATCATTATGCCATCAGCATTAAATGACTTGAAAATGGTCTCAAAACAACAATATTATCGTTTATTGCAATAACTTCTGGGAAAACTCATTGTCCAGCAAAATGTATTATCATGACAGTCTTAATTCCACTTAGATTTTTTTCTCCTTCCACTGCCTCATTAAAATATTAAATATTAATATTACATTCCTGGCAACAGTAAGAGCATTTAAAGTGCAGAGTGCACTGTATGCATAACTACCGGTGATGGTATGAGAGTCAGTGGAGCAGAGAACCAGTTTACCTCCCAGCAGCACTTTGAGCTGCTTGTCGTAGAACTCCAGCTCCTTCTGTGAGACCAGGCTGCACTCTGCACACTGCCTCACCGGGTCAACGAAGCACATCCGGGGCAGCGCCACCTTCTTGCTGCAGCATTTATCGCAGAAACAGCGGCCGCAGCGCCGGCAGTGGTGCTGCAGGACACAGACGTTAGAACAGAGCGAAGCTGATGTTTAGTAGGTCTAAAACGTGAAGCGCTGAAATTTGAGCATTTCAACTAGAAATGATCAAAATTCATTACTAGCAAAGTTTTTGTTGCTTCCTTAGGAACAAGATCCTGTTTTAAGAAGTTTTCTTAAAACAAAAATAAAACAAATCAGCAGTTCAGTTGAATCTTAGTGTTCACTACAATAACTACTGAGCAAAGAATCAAAAATGAAAAGAAGAGGATGTAGCAAATGATAAAAAAAAAAGAAAAAGAAATTCTAAAGTCTAAGTCAGGGGTGTCCAAAGTGTGGCTCGGGGGCCATTTATGGCCCTCTGATTCTGCGTGGCCCACCACAACAGGTGGTTTATGCAGATTGAGAATCTTTTTCCTCAAGCTCTTAAAATGGAGCAAAATTATTAGTGACAAATTAAAATGTATACAATGGAAAATACTGATCATTGTTTTTATTTATTTTAAGTACATTTTTATTTGTTTTAAGTACATTTCCAAACAAAAGTAGAAAAAACAAAAAAATACAAAGCTTTTGTCTTAGCCATGCTTTTTGCTTTCTCTGTAATTCCATAAGTAGGATCACATTTATCATCCGACTCCTGTTGAGAAACTCCTCAGAGAATTCGGTTGATAAATGTGATCTCGGTGAGAAACCATTTCTAAAGAGACGGCGACTCAAATCCTGTCCTTACTGCTGAGCAGAAGCTGAATGTCTCATTTAACTGGTTTCATCTGAGTCCAGTAGAAAGTGCAAACTGGAAATCTTTCTTTTAACAACGTGAAAAACTCTGCAGTGGATTTAAATTTCCCTTTCCCACAAAAATATAAACAAAAAAAGAAAAGACATTTTTACAAGTATAATTTGAATTATTGTATGCTTAGTTGATCAGTGAAAAACAAAATGAATACATTTTTTAAAATAATTTTAGCTTTTTTTTTGTATTGACCTGACCATTTCGGCCTATGTGACTGAGGGTTTAACGAAAAGGCCTGATCAGACAGCCTGGTTTCCTCTTTTCAGTCAGATAAAGCTGTGATTTAGCACCTTGGTGGTGCAGAAACAAAGACCAAACAAACCTTTCGTCTGATGAAGTCAAACTTGGTGTCGCATTGCATGCATCTCGGACACTGGGTGACAGGGAAAGAGGAAAAACAGGACGTTACACAACATGCTGAGCTGAGCAGATTCCAGTTCAACAGCAGCCTGGCTCCTGCTCTGCCTCAGCCACACGTCACACATCACGTCCTCTCTGCTGGACTGCCACTTTGCCTACATTGTTTTCTTTCCGTCTCCCTCTGGAGGCATTGCAACCTAAAAAAAAGTTCAGAGAAAAACAAACAGATACACCTGTACGGAGATGACAGTCGAGAATAAATGATTACATTTGTTTTTGTGTAACTTGCTCTTCAACAAACAGTGTTGGGCTCTGTCTGCGATTCTGAAGCTCACTAAAAGGTGACGCTTTTTCTTTTAAGCAGTGTTCCTTTCACAACAATTTAGCTACATACTATCATCTGTGTGCGGGCGTGACAGTGAGGGCGCGCGCACGCGCGCGCGCGCACACACACACACACACACACACACACACACACACACACACACACACACACACACACACACACACACACACAATGTGACTGTAGCCGGCTCCTGCACTGATGCTAACCAGCTCCGCTCTGGTTTTAGTTGGACGGGAGAGGCTTGGCTCGCAAACTTCTTCTGTTACCAGACTGGCCATGTCAGCCTGCAACGCCCAGTCCAGGAGCCAACTGCGATGTCCACAAACACGTCAAGCCCGCGGCAGCCCCGAGAAGAAAACCGGATACGGAAGGCGTCGCCACAAAATAAAAGCTGGCTTCGAGGCCCGTCCTCGGTTCCTTGGCCGCACCGTCTGTCCCCAGCTCTCAGTGACCACTTCCTGTCTGCTTACGTTCTAATAATAATAATAAAAAAATACTTAAGGAGCAAAAATTAAAACTAAAAAAAGCATGGCGTTTTAGAGCTTACCCAATTATGAAAAGCTAACCTTGCGCTTAACAGTTAAGGAGATCAAAATGTGTCATGACTTATAAGAAAAATAAAGTGCAAAAAAAATGTGTTAACACCTAAAAATATACCGATGCTTTTTTTTGTAATATTACTACACTACAAAACACGTGTGTTTGTGTCTCTATTTTCAATTTGATCTAAAGTGCCACCATTTAAAAAAATAAATACCTGCTCATCATATATTAGAGTGGTGACACTGGAGTAGCTAACAAGAAGGTCCAGGTTCTTCTCCTGCATGAGGTTTTCTCTGAGTTCTTTCAGGGTACTCAGGTTTCCTGTTCAGATTAATTGTGTTATGCATCTCTGTGTTGCCCCTGAAATGGGAAGGTAACTTGTCCCGGGTGCACCTTAATATACAAAAACAGAGATAGAGACAACAATCTGCATTTTCACGAATTAGAAATATTTCGAGCAGCTAAAGTTGTTGTTCCTGTGAACAAAAGACAAAGCATAAGTCTTCTTATGCTAGTGTTGTGCTAAACCCCATTAGCATCATGCTCGGGGAGGAGCAGCACTGGTTGCTCCATAGGCACTGTCAACTTTCACCAATGAAGTTATTTTTTTAGTACTTTTGTGTTGTGAGCTGCAATGTTTGTTTTCTTAAAATGTTTTCTTGTAAAACGTTCTGCTATTAAATATTTATATTCTATTTAAGAAATTTCCCCTTACTGTGCTTTTTTTAATTCTTTTTTTTTCCCCAATACTTTTTAGTGAATCTGTACGTTTCCATTAAGGTGCAATAAAGGATATATATTTTCTACTCTAAAGCGTCAAAAGTCAAAATTTATTTTGTTTTAACAAACGTTTGGGGTTTTTTTTACATTTAGTCTGAAAATACTAACCGGAAGCGACATGTTTACTGTAAAAGCTTCGCGCTGGTGTGTAACCACTTCAGATAGCATTTGGCCGTCAAACGCCTCACCTCTTTGTCCGGGACCCACTGCGGCTCGTCCAGGGAGAACGGGCTGTTGAAGGCGCCGTTCTCCGGAACCATTCGGAGGCCGCTGGGGCTGCGGACCAGCTTCTTCCCGTCTGGAACCGAGGACATTTCCTTTAAAGCGTTTCCCCTCTCTTCTGTCGAGTCGTCTTCTTCTATCACAAACTCTAACCAAGCCACACCCTCCAGGAGCATTTCAACCAATCACAGCACAAAACTGAAGTCACGTGAGACGTGTGGACGAGAAGGCTGTTTGTGTCCACGATCAGTCAAAACACACTGTAATCTCGAGAGAAACAAGAAAAAAACAACACAAAACATTGGAGTGTTTGCTAAGCGAACGATTTAGTTTATTCAAAATATAAATGAAGATAAATTACAAAGCAATTAATAAATATTTATTTAGCAAATAAAGTTATGTTAGTGAGAGTCAAAAGTCATATTGACTTTGATTTTCACTTTATCAATACTTGTTAATAATTAGCAATGTCTGACTGGTTCAAGTTCCCATCTTCTGCTTGACTCAGCAGGTTCAAGGCTGACTGCTCCTCCAGCAGAGACAGTCTCAAACAGAGTTCAACATTTATTTTGGAATATTTATCTAAAACCATAATGGGAATGTGTGGAAGTATGTCTTAAGGCTCTGTCTATTCTAAGAAGAAACATGAAAAATGTCAAGCCAGAATGTCATGCCACATTTTTTTTTGTTATTAAAAGTGATGTAAGATTTCGTTGCTACTTGTTTGTTTGAATCTGCACATACAAAGTTGATCCTGTGTGGTTTGGAGAATGTCAGCAATAAATCCAAACACACTGGTCCAGCTGTTTGTTGTACGTTCCTCCCAATCTTGCACTTCAAGGAACAAAGAAAATGAATCATCTTCATTCAGATATGTGTCTAAGGCTTTGCGTTGTTATTGTTTGATTTACTTAAAGTTGTGATTTTCTTCAATTTATGTAGTTTTGTTTTTATAGTAAATTAGTGAACTAATTTAATCTCAAGGTCTTCATTTCCTTCTTAAAAGTTGGGTTCATAACCCTCACCTTGAACGTTGTTTGAAGGGACAGTGCGTTTATCGACCTGGTGTACGCTGTGGGAGTTCATTCATGGAAAACAAAAGCCAAGAGAAAAGCTCAGGGAGGCTGGAACGTTTAATCAAAGGTTAAATCTTACAGCTTTGGTTCAAAAATGATCTTTACACATTAAATTAGAATTGTATAGGTAGCTTGAATCAATTAAAGCAGAGCAGAGAAGCATAACACACATCACTGGAACAGTTTCTTCCTATAAACCTCTTGGAATAAAAGCATCAGAACACACGCTGAAATCTTGCATTTACAATCTGAATCATCTTTAAAACTTATTCATAAATTGCACTTCACTCAAGTAAAGTCTTGTCCGGATCAAACATTGAGAACAACTGGAGATCTTTCTACTGGTAATGTTGTAAAAACTGGTGAATAATTTCAAATTGTGTCAAATCAGCCTCTACTGTCACGTTCCAGTTGATTCAGTTCCAGGTGACAGCGTGAATAAATATGAAGTGTTTTTTATTTTTTTTATTTTGTGCATAAACATAAGGATTTTCCAGAACACAGCATGGATAAATACACATAAAACAGCATTGAGAAAAATGTAAACACAGGACTTCAGATATCAGAAGCTAAAACTTCAATCAACACAGAACAGAACGTTTTAAAGAGGAAGCAGCTGAGATGAGGCCAGTCAAGTGTCAACTTATGTCCTTCAAATACAAGTGGATTTTCTGTCCCTTCATAAACTCAAATCAGACCTGAGAGCTAAATGAGGACCAAGCGTTAAAACTTAGACACTCGAAACAAGAACATCACGCTCTTCTTCGTCGCTTTTCTCCCTGTTTGCACAGGGAAGGCAGACATCTTCTAATGCAGAGATTTTATCAGACAAGCTTTGGACATTTGTCGGGTTTCATGTCCAGGTCTTGCGTCACTCAACTGGTTTGTTAAGATTTAAAAATTTTAAGTTCATAAAAATCTTCAGCTATTCTGGAGCGATCGTGTTTCTATGGACACCAGAGTAACATTAAAACCTGACTGAACAAATATTTGCTTTTTTTAAAACAGGGTCCTACTAAAAGCTTGTAAGTAGTTCATATCTTACCTGCAGTAGTTATGATTCAGCCCAAACTCATCAATACAACTGGCACAGTCTGAGTTAAAACTGTTTTTTTGTTTTTTTCCTGATGTGAAATGAGATTACAATCTCCAAATAGGTAAAACTATTTAGAATGGGTATTGATTCTGAAATATATAGATGTATATACATATTTTCACATATTTTATTTAAAATTATTTGTAAAAAAATTAGGCAATCCATTGCAACACTGAATGGAAAAACCTTGATTGATGTTGCAGCAATCTGTAAAAGTTAGCAAGTGTTACACTGCAAACTGAATGTTTTAAGCTGGGACTCCAAAACATCAATATTTGAGGGGAAAATGTAAAGACTGCTTCGAAACTAAATCGAAAGGGGGTGTGAATAATTTCGGGCTTAAGCATAACTCTGTTGCTGTTTTGATTTAGCATAAACCCAGCTTAGATCCCACAGACTGAAGTTAACATCTCCACCAAACACCAAAACAGACATTAGATTAAGACTGTTATTTTGGAGGAATGGAGGTGTGGGGATGACCTGGGGTCTAACGAACATCTGTGCACCCCCAGGGGTCAAACCTACTCCAACACCAACCACTTAGCTCTGAACACCACCCACGTTAAACACCCACGCACCGACACAAACACATCGCTTTCAGGTCAAAGAACCAGGCTGCTGTTCCTTCGGCCTCCTCTGTTACAAGATGGAGTCTTGATTTAATAAACGCCATCAGAATTTACATCTCCGTTTTGTAGAGCAAATATGTCCTGGAAACATGCAGGCAAAACAGCTTCTCTATATGGTATGCCAGCAATGCCAAGACTGACCCGTAAAAGAAAACAAATGCTAACTGCTTATAGCATTTCAACAAAACCTGACTTTAAAAAACAAATTCTGAATATATTCAGGATATAAAGGGGCAGTATTCTGTAAAAAATACTTTTTTATGCTTTTATAATGTTATTCCCTCATCATTGCTTTGGTACTTTTATGCAAGCTTAAGAAATTCTTTAATCTCCATGGCATCCATGCAGCTATGCAAAAACAGCTTGGTGGACCTAGCTCTGCCTTCGAGGACAGAGCTCCTCTTCAGAGCTGCAGTTGTAAAGCTTTCAGCCCTCCACTCAGCTCCTTCAGACTAGCCAGAGTAAATTAGCAAACAGCTGGTGGAGCTGAGCCTCTGCTGAACTTGTTATAGGACTTACTCCTCAGTGCAACACTGGTAAAGATGTTGCTAAAGGAGCAATGTTGTGATGCTTCCCTGAAGGCAGAGTTTCAGAACAAGCAGGAGTATTTAAAGAGACAGAGGCCCAATTTCAAGACGTTAAATACAGTCAAATTTCTTTAGTCATATTTGTTATATATACCACTGTGTGCCTGGAAAATATATAATACTGCCCCTTTAAGGTTCATTAATTATTCAATTTAGGGATATTTTTAGAACAGAACAGTGCAAAATAATAATCATAATCCAAACATAGTTTTCCCATGAGAAAAGTTGTTGGTTTTGATGGCAGGTGACTCATTTCTGACAGTATTTTGTAGAAAATGGCTGCTAAACCACAGAGTTGCTTTGCTGTTTCTGTAACGTCATAATTTCATAAAACAGAGCTTTCAGCCCAGCGGTAAGTCGTCATTCAGATTCTCTGGGTGAAACGGGGGAGCTCATTTTGAGCCGCGGCTTGGTGAAGTAAAACCTGCGCCTCCGTCTACCATCAAACGAACTCCAGCATAATTCATATTTTCCATATCACTAAAACCAGGAAACACGAGTTTTCTCACAGACACACACACGCAGCAGATCACTGTACATTCACACTCCTGACACGCAGTGACTGGAGCACAGGCTTCCTGCCGGGAGCTCAAACCTGCAGCAGTGGGGTCAGAGTTCAGAGGCCGTCCAGTGAGCACTTTGCATTGCGATGCTGAAGAACGACGAACACGTGAAGCTTTCCTACAAACAGAAATTTACAGTGAAGGCAGTCCGGCGGTCAGAGGTGGTAGCTCACTTCCTTCAATGCACCAGGTCGGTTTGGCTGGCGCTCAGGTCGTGATGTTTTCTCAAACGATGATTTCGTTCCTGACGGAAACAGAGACGGGTCAGAACTCAGCGCCAGATCAGTGATATTAGTGAAATAACAACACATTTTATATTTATATACACACCAAGAGAGAGAGAGACATACAGGAGAAAAGGGGATTCAATTCTTTTCCATTTTTTAAAATTGAAAACAAGGTCTGTTTTTTTTTTTCACTCCTTTAAACAACTGATCACCTTACAATAGTTTTCTTAAAATCTTAATTTTCTGTCTTTTCTTGCAACATTCAGGGTCAAGTTGCTCCAACCATGGACAGAAATCTACAACTTACACAAAAGTTTAAAATCAAAATTGAGTTGTTGTTTTGTCATGGAAAAATTTGTTCTACCACCAAAGTGTAATTTACAAATTTACCAGAAATTTGGACCAACCGTTTGATACGTGATATTTTATTGCCAGAGCGAATGCAGAAATACATGGATAAAGCTCTATGAACAAACAATAAAACCTTTAAAATAGTTTTGATCTTAATTTTATAGGTTGGATCAATATCTTTATTCACTGTTGTCACAATGGAGGAAAATGATTTCATATTTAGCTCAAGTTTATTCAAATGGCTCCAGGTAAAGAGGGACAGAAGCTCCAGTCTAACTCTGCAGTTTAACTTTGATCACATCTGGGTGGAGAAGAAAAAGGAGTCAGATTCTTCAAACTCCTTTTTGTTTCGTCCTTCATTCATTAAATGCACCACAAGAAAAAAAACTAACTTTGCATATCTGGTAAATATTGTTGTGTTTCTTTCAAGCTTTTTGTTTCCTGATGTCAGACGAGTTCAGGGACTTTTGCTTCGATGCATAAATGAGAATAATTATTTAAACGACTCTATTTGCTGTTAGATTCACAACTTGTCAAGGAAACTGACGCCTCAAGTTTAGGTATTTAAATAAAATAGTTTATAAAATGATTTTTATTTATTTTTCTATACAGAGTTTGTTCAACTTTGCTGAGACCTGAAGCCGTGTACTTTGGTTGTTTTCACACTTGGTCTGGTGTGTTCATTTCCCCTTGCTGTCCAAGTATTAGTGAATTTAAATTCCATGTTTGCCATGTACACTGCATGGTTTGTGGCCAATTTAAAGCAAAACCTTTTAGCTTTATAAAAGCAATAGTCGATTTCTTGCCATTTCCCAATAAACACCCAATTTGTTAGTGCACAATGACAGAAATATCCCAGTTGAGAATATTTGGCAGGTAACCTGCCTGTTTTGGTGGACCGCCATGTTTGGGTCTTACAGGTGAGCATGCTCTTCCCATTTTCAGATGATGGACTGAACAGAGCTTACTGAGACGTTCAACGTTGATACAGGCTGTTAATATATAAAATTGCCCACCTGTCGGCTAATGTCACTTGTTGTTACCTAATGTCCTCTGATGCCTTCATAGTTAACTACAACTAACAAAAATGAGAAAACATTTTGCTTAACTTGAATAAATAAAAAATCTAATTAACTAATAAAAACTTTAAGTGATATTTAGTCAACGATAATGACTAAAGACTAGCAAAAATACCCTTTAAAAACTAATTTAAACTAACTGAATTAGATTAAAAAAAATAAAATTACAACAAAATAAAACTTAAGCTGTAATTAAAAAACCGAAACTATTATAAGCCTGCTTCACACATCACATTAACATTAAATTAAACATTGTTTACTACTTTCAAGACTGGTCACACTGGATTTTCTTTGGTAGTATCTTATTAAAGGGGGGCGAATGCAAATCCATTCCACTCTCCTGGGATACTTTTTTTTTTTTAAAGAGGCAAAAATCCAGGCATTCTTTCTTCCAGCTGAATTACACACTATGTGCTTAACAGCACATACAGTGACACAAATGGAGCATGAATACTTGTAACAAACAAAAAGGTCATGGAAGCTTTTGGCAGAACAGAAAAACAAACCGGAGGACTCACTGCAAACACCAACGTTTTGACCGTCGGGCTTCCTTACTTGGTAGTGGTCTCTGGCAGGCTTGTCCGGCAAGTTAAGAACCCCCAGAGAGCTGGCCCGCTTCATGCTGCTCCCACATGCAGAGAGTCAGGGTGAGGGGTCAGGGGTCAAGAGGTGAGGGGTGGAGAGTCAGCCGTGAGCTTTTAAACTCAGTGGAGTTACATGAGGGTTAATGATCATTTCACAAAACGGTTAGTTCCACGATAATGTTTCGGATCTTCTGTATTCAGATTAGACATGTACAACGTTAGCACCACTTCTTGACGCAAATCTTCACATTTTTTTATACATTTAGTTTGTTAGGTTGATGGAAAATTCAGCAATGTGTGTGTGTTGTTAGACATCAGGTAAGACATTTTGGGCTGCATGTTTGTGAAAAATTGTTGGAAAAAAGTAAAGATTCTTCTGCCTTTACTGACAGGGCAGCAGCTGTGACTGAGCATTCAGACTGAGTTGGGTCTGGCAGACCAAAATGTGAAACCAGCTACTGATCTTTGCTTAGTTACAAGCAACTGAGAAACACAAAATCTTACCAAGTATTTCTGGCCGAGTACACTTGAAATAAGACCAAACTAAGATTTTCTTTTAAATAAATAACTCCTTAATATTGATTTTAAAACAGTACTAGTTTCATTGGCAGATTATGTCACTTATGGGAAAAATGTTCAGTGACAAGTGAAATAATCTGTCAATTCAACAAGTATTTGTCATCAATATTAAGGAATATTGACTTAAAACAATGTCCTGTATTTTGTTGAAAATTTACATTTAAGTTAGTTTTGACTTATTTCATGTGAATTATAATATTTGCTCTACAAAATAGACCAAAATACTTGGTAAGATTTTGTGTTTTTACAGTTTACAAAAAGATTTCAGAAACGCTGTTTCACTATGTTGTGCACCAAGACATTCACACTACAAGTCCAACACATGCAAACTCAAAACATGAAGCATAAAACTTAGGTGTGTGTGAATGTCACCGCAGCAAACATCCGTCTTCGAGTGCATTTAATACTCCAAAGGTTTAGTTGGTTTTTTTTTTTTATAATTTCCGATGCACATTCCTTTTTAAACAGCCTGAAACACAATGTTATGTCTGAACGACTTTCACTGCCAACAGACAAAACTCAGTTTCACTGTAATAACAGTCGTTTGACTTCTCTTCCAGAAATCTAATTACTCCACTTTTAAACATTAGACTCAAATATAGATAAACAGACAAATTGGCTGGTGACCAGAAGCTTTTGAATTTTAATGAGCAACCCTGACCAGTGACAATAAATAAATGCTACCAGATGGAGGTGATATTTTCAGGCTAACCAAAGTTCTTCACTTTATGATTTTGGTTTAAATATGAGTAAAACAATTGATGCACACATTTGTGATATCTGTTCAGAAGAAATAAAAGGGGAGTTATTTAGTCAGAGATGTTTCTGCAGTGACGTTACACATCAGTGAGACCCGTCATGATGATGATGATGATGATGAGGAACACCAACATCCTGTCCATCACCATCACGAGGCACAGTGAAGAGCAGCACCAAGGAACACGAGAGACCAGCAAGAACAAAGATGAGGCATGCAAGTCGACATTCAGAAGAAATAAACATTTATTCATAAATAAAAAATTAAAAAAGAAAAACAGAACAATGAAAAAGAAATACATTTTTATTCTACACAGGACAGCCATGCAGACATTTAATAACATAAAGATGGACTTATAAAAGTCCAGAACAGTTACAGTTCAGCCACAAAATGCAGTGAATAGATGGAACGATTAGTTGGAAATTATTTCCATGGGCACAACAAGTGTGATGGAAAAATCACTGGGAGACATTAGTAGTTAAACACGACCCACTGGAGAAAAACCTTCCCTCCATTCATCTGTTAGTCTTTGGTTTTTCACCGTGAAGATGTTCAGGTTTGGTTTACGGAGCCCTTAAAGTCCGACTTGCAGGTTTTCAAGTCTCTGTTGTTCAAGTCAATCAAAAAAAAAAAATAGATCTTACACACAGAGGTTAAAGATTTCTTACCATCGGCACTTTAAGGGCTGTGTATCAGTCAGTGCAAGTGCTAAAAAAATGCAAGAACTCAAACATTAAAAAAATAAAAGAGAAAAGCAAATGTTCCTTAAATAAAATATAAGGATTTGATGGATTTATTTTTTTAAACAATCTTTTGGAAATGTGGTAAATTCCTCGACACGTGTTTTTCCATCAGGGCAGCACCCTTTTTAAATTATACTTTTCTCCAAAATTATATTTTATCTGGAGAATTAACTGTTTAAAGTTTTTCTTTAATGTTACAAAATGACCCAAGATGTAAATACCACTAATTTCTTTATACCTTTTTCTTTTTACAATACTGCATGTTTCTATAAAAGATATCAATACCAGTTTACAATACTTCTAAAAGTACTTTGTTGCCCCACTTTCACCCAAAAAAAAACAAAACAGTTTTTACTGAAAACCAAGGCAGTTTGCAGAAGTCAGAGTTTGCTTCTGTTTCATGTTTTGATTCATCTATAGATGGAGAAATGTAGGGGGAAAGGTAATAGTTGCATATGGGACAAGAGTCCCTAAAAACACTTATGTGCAAACACAGCTTCAGGGTTTCACCACTTCACCACCGGCAAAGTAGAAGAGTTCGCTTGTTTTGGTTCTGGTTAGCGCACCAGCCAGCTTGCTCCTCCAGGCTTCCAGTGTGTGACAGGAGCCACCTGCAGCAGTTAAAGCAGGACACTAGAGCTGCTGATAGTTACCCGGGGTTTTTGTGCTCGCCGTCTCGTGACGAACTGCCCCCTTTGAGTTTGCGGACCAGTTTCTCGCTGCTTCGACGGAGCGACGCCCGTAGTTTGCTGAAGGAGCCGCTTCTCTTCAGGGACCCCGATCCGTCCTGGTGGGACACATCACAGGCTTACCCTTACTCACGCCACTTTCTAAGATATGCACAGATGTTCAGGACTTATCATAGTTGACCAACATTTAGTTTGCAGTTGAGATGCACCAAGAAAAACTGGCTTGTGACTGGAATCGGATGACGTTCAGTGACTACCAGGTCGCTCTGGTTGTGTTTCCATTGACCATAAGGTTATGCAAATTGAAACTATGAAATTAAATTCGCTCTGTAGAAAAAGGCCAGTTTTGAAAAACTCATGTTTATGAATAAAAAGTTTTCTGCACTAGGATCAGGTGGTTTTTCAGCCGTATTGAAATGTATGTTTCTGCAGTGGAAAAACTTTTTTCACACCTTACTAGTGATGTGATCAACAGTCTATTACTTCCAATTACAGACAGTAATGATGAGAAGTAATGCTGTAATACTTCTTATTACAAGAAGTGGTAGGAGGACAATTTCCACATGGCCGCTCACAAGTTGCTCCAAAGCCTGAATGAGACGCCAACGTCGCCTCTGATTGGCTGATAAATGAGGAGCGCTATAGCGCCACGACTGAATTATGGCAGCAATGCATCTATTGCTGCCATAATTTTTAATGACTTATGTGAATAAGCGTATTCATGTGTAGTTTCATTTTAATTGTTTATTTAATGGAAAGACAACAATTACAAAATTGTGTTTTTTCGACACTAGCAACAAAGATCTGCACACATTTGTAATGGAAACGCAGCTATTGGCAGCAACACTCTTTTACACTTTTACAAGAGTAGAGGCCTGTGAAACGTCACTCAGAGGAAAAGTTATTTTTCTCACTCATAATGCAACAAGTGTTCATACAGCATCTTACTCTTACCCACAAATAAATTGACAGTGCAAAATTATTCATACACTAAATTTAAGTAAATCTAAAAAAAGGAATAAAAAAACAATATCCTTCTATCCATTTAGCCATCTAATAGAGTAACAGAGACAGGGGAGCGCTGCGTGGCACAGTCGGTGGAGCAGACGTGTGGAGGTTACTGTCCTGGGTTTGATTCCTCATCGATAGTCGGTCACCCAATGTTACGGAAATTGGGGCCAATTTTTCAGTCGATCAATTTATCGGTGCACCCTTACCAATAAACCATCTTTGGGTGATCAGTTTCTAGGTTCTGTGTTATTGTAATACACATACGTTACTGTAGGGTGTTACATTTTTTTCTCTGGACTGCATATTATTCTTTGCTCCAAGCAGTTGAAATCTAGCACTAAATTTAGTGGTTACCTTGGTAACTCCTGGAGTCTTTCTGTCAATATTGGAAAAGAATGACTAGTTATATTGTGATAATTATGCTACATTATTTCTGAAGCAGAAACGCATAAAGGCTTTTCTGCTTTAACCCAAAACAGCTTGATCATGTTGTAAAGTACAGTGAACTTTGATCTCAGTCTGTCTAAACTACAGCTTTGACAAACTTAATGTCTCCAAGAAGTCAAGTGAAGTTAGTGAACTCCTAGACAACAAGCTACCCAGTAAACCTCTGGAACATGAAGATTGACAATTTGAAAGAAAATGTATGAAAATGTGGAATGAAAAATGACACAGGTAAGTGAGATATGAACGTGTTTTGCTGCTGTGTGGTGCAAGAAACTTTACTCTCATTCGGTCACAAAGGCACACAGAAGCAGAGAAGAAACGCACAAAGAGGCAAGAGGCACAGGTTCAGGTAAAGCAGAGCGATTAGGTTTTATTAGAAGTTAAAGACAAACTGGGAGACGCACAAACGAGACAGAGGACACAGAATATTAGTAGCAGAAGTGGAGGACAGGCTGAGGAAAAGGCTCCTTAAACCCCAAAGTTTCAGGAAATGCAACAATAAATGTTTATTTACACCAAATGCCGTCACGTTCTCACTACCAACCCTAAGCTAGATACACAGACGGTAAAAGATGAAACTCCTATTTCAGTTGAATTAATCTCAATACAGTTTTAAATAAAATAAATAAAAATAAAAAAACTAACAGCTTTTCTTAAAACCACATTTTAATTCCTCCTGCATGAAAACCAGCTGGCATTCACATGCTCTGTTGACCCCTGACCTCCCAGGAAACAGATGAACTACTTGCTACTGTGGCAAGAAGTGAGACCTACATGTGCAGAACTACAAGCTACGCTGCTCCTGGTTATGCTGATGCCGTCATTTACAATGTGTTGAGTCACTACTCTGATTATTTCTGTCAGTAGAAAATGGATAATACAGTTCATTAGAACTGCAGGATATCATGACCTGCTGACAAGCTTGAAATGGATTGGACAAAGTTTGAATAACATCTACTGTGTGTTCTCTGACTGGAATGTCTAGTCATGTCATAATGCCATCTACAGGCTATGTTTCTATGAGACATGAGGATTATTGTAGTGGATTTTAATAGGAGCTGATGTGTTTGAACATCCAAACGTTTCCCTTTCATTCTGACCCAAAGGAAAATCAACATCAGCCATAATGTCTCTTTTCTCATCTGTGTTATTTCTCTTTGTCCTTGCCATTTTGTTACAGTTTTGTTTCATTAGGATGTGTAGCCTTCAGGTCGGCTCCGTTTTTACCAACACGACTAATGACAAAAGAGCGGATCCAATGCTTGATCCTGATTATTTTTAATATAGTCGAAACCTGCTTCTTGAACAAAACCCAGCATTTCTTTTAAGGTTTTTGTTCAAAGTAATTTCTGATAAATGAGATCTGCGTTTCCATAAAACTGCATATAGATACACAGGTGTCGTAAAAAACTGCATGTGTTAGATTTTGAACAACCATCTGACAGCTGACACTGTTAGCAATTTGTATTTAAATGCAAAAGAATATATTCCCCCTTATAACTTGCTCAAGTTACAATCACAAACCTTTTTCTTTTTTTCTTTTTTTTACAGATTTTAGGTAATAAACCAACACAAAGTAGCTGCACATAACCGTGAACTTCCATGTACTTTTTGTATCCTTCACTCTTCAGTCATTATCAAAACAGCTTTTCTTACCAACTCCACAAAATAAATATTCAATTAGTAAAATAAGTCAAATAAATAGTAAATTTTCTAAATGTGATCACGTGTTCACTAAAGGAATGCAAATTTTAGGCAATGGAAGTTTTATTTTTAAATGAAAAATCTGCATAATGTGCCAATTTCTTCATCCGAATAATTGTCAGAATACTTGATAAAATACTCAATTATTAAAATAATTGTTAGCTGCAGTCCTACATATGAATGTAGATTCACTGGTACACCTGGCGATGTTGTGCAGCAGGTGTACCGACTAATTAAAAAAAAAAATTGCCACACTTTTCAGATTTTAATTTGTAAAAGGTTTTGAAAACTGTATCTTTTCCTTCTATTTCACAATTATGCACTACTTTGTGTTAGTCTCTTATAAAATCCTCCAAAAATCACAACACTGAATTTTATGATTGTATCCTGACAAAAAGAGAAAAAGTTCCAGAAATATGAAAACTTTTATGAGGAACAGTAACTGAACAAAAACCTCATTGCTTTGGAGTTCAGGCCAAAATGAAGAGAATTTCTGGGCACAACAGCTACGTTTATGGACATACTGTCACAGCAGATGAACGGTTCAGTCGGGTTAGAGGGCCGTCAGAGTGGTATCAGTGAGGTTCAGTGTGGTCTGAAGAATCCCTCCGGGATAAAAAAAAAGTAAGGTTTAAAGGGGGTTGGAGCTGGAAATTGAAGAAAACCGCAAAGCTGGAGGGGTGGAGGCGAGGTGAGGCCAGGCATCCGTCATGCAGAAGACAAGTTTTTAGAACCATTACAAGGCATCTGGAGTTAAGCCTGCCATCCAGACAGAGCACAAAGACAAGAGAGAGAGAGAGAGAAATATAAACAGTGACAGGTAGAAGAACAAAGGCATATGAGACATGGATGGAGCAAAAGTTGCAAAAGCAAAGCAAAGCAGGCAGATGGAGGCAGCACACAAGGTTTCCTCTAATAGCTCTGTTCACCAAACAGTGGAAGGAAGCACTACATCTGTACACACATCAGAAAAAGCAAATGAAAAAAATCAGTGAAACAAATGGCATAAATCGAAATATATATTTAGGTCATTCAACATGGTAAACAATTTGATATTTTTCCAATTTGTGCAAGTAGAGCAGGTCTGATTTCCACAAATGGGGCTAAGGTTCCTCACTTGGCTAGAAAACGTTTTCTCGAGGTCTGAACTTCCATTTTCCACTATTAGTTTATGATGAAATACTGCATTTTTTTAATTTGGCCTCTAGGTGGAGCTGTTCAACAGTCCACTGTGTTGGTTTAATCCTGTGTCTGAATTTGGAAAACAGCTGAGAGACTTTAATTAAGGCCGTGGAACTTTGTTAAAGCAAAACAAAAAAACAGGAGAGGAATAAAGAAAACACATGAGAGAAGCCAGAACTCTGCTTCAATTATTTTGCCAACACATATAGGAGTCTTTTGGTTTTTTATGCTCAACTAACCTATTAAAAAATGTCACACCCCCATTAAGCAATTAACTTAGATATTTTCTCCAATTCAGATTTAAAGTAGCGCTAAAAGTAGGTCAGCTATGCACTGCAATTTCATTTTTTCTCTCTCTGGCTGCAAATATGTTTAGGGACAAAGGTAGAAAAAAGAAAAGTGAAGGACAAAAAATGAGGAGAAAAGTCACAGTTATCGTTCTCAGAAAGCAGCACATCAAACAAATGCATGGATGCATGCAGCACAATGCACACAGATAGAGAACATCAAGCAGGAGTACAGTACAGAGCCCTGGTTAAGTCAGAAAAGATTTTTCAGTTTGATTTATTAATTAGAGGGAAAAGAAGTGATTTCACAGTTGCCTGTAGAGGGCACTGTCGAGGAAACCATTTCTTTGACAAGTTGAAAACCAAAATATGGTTTTTAAATCGCAGATAGATGGTGAAGTACAGACATAAAAATGTAACAAATTTGACAATAATGTATTCAACAGTTTATCATCTATTAATAACATAAATTCAGCTGAATGTTTATTTCTGTTAAGTACAAATGAAGACAAAAACAATCCCTTCTGAAGCTCGGTCAGGTTCAGGTGTTTGATTTGGCTGCATCCTCTCTACAAACACATGACCAGTCATGACCAGCCGTGGCTCAGATGCTCATTGATTGTTCAGGATGCTATGGCAACCGTTGCTATGCAAGAGGACTAGTTCAGCAGAAGCAGCAGCAGAAATTTACAGCCACGTCTCCATCTACATGACTAGAAGCAGAACACTGCAGAGTCTCCGGAAGGTTAGAGACCTGACTGTGCTGCAGAGAGACAGGCTGGATGGGTTTATATGTGGTAGATTTAAGTGGGTTAGAAAGTGGAACAGAAAACATTTTAAGCTAGGAATGCTCAAGAAAACGAGCAGACATCTGGGATCTAATGATTTCATCCTTGACTGGACCAGATCCCCTATTGGCCTGCTTTAGACTAAACATACTCTTGGGCCAAGTCCACACATAGCCGGCTCTCTGGGGAAACAAATATATTTCATGCACTTTGGCCTTTCATCCAAAAAGCTCAGTTTAAAAATCACTAAAAACAATTATTTATGAAAACTCCAATAGAAATGGAGATATGAGAAAACAGCATTTCTGTTTTAGGGTCAGCGACAAACAAAGATGCTAAATGTTTGTTGTCATATTGTCTTTGTTATAACTATACAGACTAGTTAATGCATCATAAGAGAAACGCTTTGTGTGGTTACAGTAATTTGGTAGCTTTTCCCTTCATATGATGAAACTTCATTGTGTTTCATAGAAGATATACTATAATTCTTTTTAAAAGGTTTTATAATTAAAATCCATGTCATAAAACCTTTGGATGTTACTGTAACATTAAAAGAGCAATGTTTGAAATTCACAAAATTACAGATTGGAAATCACACAAAAAATTTTTAAATCTTAGATTTTTTTTGATGGCTCATTAAATGACTATAATTCAACTTGTGTGACTTGAGTTTTATCCCCTGAGGCAACTTTAAATTGTCTACTCACATTTCAACCCAACATGGTACAACATGTAAAAATTCAATATTCTTTTTTTTTTTTTTTAATCTATGTTTTTGTGCCCGTTCTGTCCAAAAATGTTTGAGTTTCTGTAAGAGAAAACCCTACAATAAGCAATCCCCAACTACAACAGCAGCATGGAAACAGCAGTGACAGACAATCAGCATCATCATTAAGATGCTATTGAAATCATCCATATGAAGCTGATTCAACAGTAAAATTGCTTCCATTTTAGATAATGCTATTCTGTTTCAGAAAAACACTTTGAATGTATCTTTACTGAAAGAAGCCACTGAACAATGCTTTCCCCCCAAACATCCAAACAGACATGAATTGCAATTGTAATCTGCAGAGGGAAGTGAACTTTAAGATGGTCACTCTGCTTCTATCCTCACTCTCTTTACTCATTTGGAACTGTTGCTTTGGTCCATAAAGATGGAGGCTGAGTATCATAGGGACGTAGCTGTTGTTCCAGCTGACAGGCTGCTGGTATAAAGCGCTGAGGGCTGTGTACTGTACTTACCCCGTTCCACTCCACGCTCATACTCACTTCCTCGCCACCGTCCGGCCCGCTCTCGTACTTCACCGTGTCTGAAGTCAGACTCTCTCGGCTGCGATGCTTGTCGCCGGCCTCTGGTTCACTGAGAACCTCGGCAACGCGTTGCTTGTGCACGTTGTCCAGACCCTGAAACACATCAGCGCTCAGTAGGTTACTTTAAAAATGGAACGGGTTGCAACAACAAGTCAATGTAATTTCACCGCAACTATTTTATAAGCTGCAACAAAGTAATTCAATTAATTACATATATGTACTTTTTAAGATCTAGACAGTAATGTGGCATGTCATTTGCCGATCTGGACTTGAATAAGATATTAGGCACAATTAATTTAGCCTATTTTTATCTTGTATAGCTATATGTTTTTGCCATTCAACTTTTACAGTTTCACTTGGATATTCTTACACATAATTCTTCAGAAAAAGTTCTGCAGTGTGAGCCATCCTGCTCTGTTTCTGACAACTTCTGGCCTAGATTCTATTTAAGTATTCTCAAAGAAGGAACCCTCAATATTTTTAGATTAAATAAAATTAGCATTTTCATAAAGTTTCACTTTTAACCCAACCTCAATATCATACAAAAAAAAAAAAAAGTCATTCTGTTTTTGAAAGTACAAACACTTGTGCTGTTTGACTCACTTCAACCAGCAGAAGTGAAACAGCCCACCTGCTTTCTGGATCGCATGGCTGCCTCCTCCAGAGTCTCAGCTGCCTCAAACTTGCCCTGCCGCCTGTACAGAGCTCCCAGGTTCTTCAGGGTTGTGGTCACCGTGGGGCTGGAATGCGGTGAGAGGATTATAATGTTTGTAAGTCACTTTGCTGATCAGTAAAATAAGAACTGCAATTGTTTGACGATTTACTGCATGTTCACTTTATTATCTCCACAATATAAATTATAAATCTTTCAAAGAAAATGTGTAAATTGGTTCAGGTGTGTCCTGGGCTAATTTGGGAGTGGGAATAACTTTGATTAACGTGGAATATCAAAAACAAGCTTGATAATAAACAATATTTCAGGCCGATGATGTCAGATGTAGGAGAAAAAACTGACCTGTCAACTTTACATGCTTTGTACCAGCCTCCATATTCTCCAAATTGTGAACCATCCTTCAGTTTCCCCTGTGAAATAAGATACAAAGCTATTCTTTAGAAAGAGAAGCCTGAACATACAACATTTATTCTGTGTTCTAGTCCAATAACACAGGCAGGTTAAAGCCTTTGATTTGCAAGAAGGAACCTGAAATTGTTAACTTGTGCACCACTGCCATTAAGGAACATCATAATACCTTAAGATTTAACAAACAAATGATTTTAAACGGACATTTAAGAATCAAACTCGCCTTGCTTTGTTCCTCTCTCTCTTCAGCATGCATCCAGATTGGTTTGTTCTCATCTGAAAGAGAAAAACAAAATCAGCTGTGGCAACTAGAACATGGAAACTAAAAGGCTGTTTTTGTTTATAGGTGTCTTCCTTTTGACAGCAGATGTTGAGGGTTGCTTAAAAAAAAAGTTTCTAATTATTTTTGTCTCTATGACAGCTGTAATTCAGTCAGGACTACAGATGACCTCTGACTGCCCACCACAACTGGTTAATTTTACACTTGACAAGGAATTGTTGAATACTTTTAACTTGTTTGTGATAACTATATATTTCATTAATTAGTTAACAATCTTATATAATCTTACCATCAACAGAGCCAAACTCCCTCTCATGCGCGCGGGTGAGGATTTCTTTGTACAGAGTCTCAGCCTGCTTGAATTTGCCCTGCTTTAGGTAACAGGAAGCCTAAAGAACACAGAAAACTGGCTATTGTGATCAGAATCACAGTGAAAAGAGATCCAACGAGGCCAAAGACACAGCCTTGAGACAGAAGTATTTTCCCCTCCTAAAAGCTTCAATCTTCCTCACCAGGTTGTTCTTGGTTTTGGCCACATTGGGGTCATCTGGTCCCAGTTTGGTCTGGTAGATCTCCAGAGCTCTCATGTAGTAATACTCCACCTCCTCATACTTGCCCTGGTTCTGGCACAGCAGGGCGAGGTTGTTCAGCTGCTTGGCCACATCTGGGTGGTCCTTGCCCAACACCTAAAAAAAACACATTAAGGGTTTCCTTTCTTTAAAAAGATAAAACAATCAAAAATCTTGAGTCATCTACATCTTCAAAGAGTAGTTGAAGGGCAAAAAAAGAAATTGCAAAAGGCTCCAAGATTATCAACAAGATCTTGGTAACACAACAAGAATCCTGGTAACAATTGTTCATACAATTTTTGGAAAATGAAACTTTATACAAGATCTTTCCTCAAACAGGTAGGGATCAGCAAACAATTACACAGGATGATCTTGTTAATGATCTCAGTGTAGCCTGAAACTGGCCACAAGATCCTGATCAGGGTATCTCTGATAGGATCATTCGAGGCAGCTTGACATCATCGCAGAAGGTGTGTTCCGAGTCTGGCTGAGCAGCATAGCTGGCCGGGTCAACAGGGTCACCAAGCAGAGAAATTATGAAGAAAAGAGGAAGGATGTTTGTAAAAGGAAACGGCAATCGTCAGTGTGGCGTCGCTCATAAAAACAGAGACAAGATAGGCAATAAACCCTCACACTAGCAAGTTATTTTTCCACTTTGGTGTTTGCTGTTAGTTTACTGAGCCAGTCTGTGGAAAGCCTTGACCCTGTAGGGTTGCTTTGCAACCCGCTGTGGACACACTTCAGTGTCTGTAACCCACATGGTGGCTCTGTTATATAAAGAAAATTTATACAACAGTCCTGACTGTTAACACTTTCTCCTGTGATACAGGATACCGTATCCTCATGTTATTTATCCCAACCACTAGCACTCTTCTTTCACCACATCCCTTGGCAGTTCATTCAGGAAGAGGCTCAAATGTTCCAATGAAAAATGGGAAATGCTTTCAACAGGCAAGATCAGTTCTCACTTCCATTTACAGATGTGACTTAATAAGTCAGTAGGTGTTATAGAAGCAGTTACCCACTTATGGCTCACATGATTGATATACTTATACAACAAAACTATAAAGATTATGTACTCAACTCCAATCCATTGAGTCAATATAAATCTGGTTGATTTTTTTCTTTGCAGGTATGCTAAAAGAAAATACTACCTAATATATCGATACTTTCTCTAAAATTTTAACAAGTTTACTAATCTTATATATTCTGAGAGAACAGATTACTAATCAGACTGAAAATATAAGAGCAAATAAAACTTGGTGCCTCTAGTAGCATTCAACCGCCTGGAGTTGGAACATTATAAAAGCCGAACCTCTAAGGTGCATTCAGGGACAACGTGTACAGAAGAGCAAAAACTCTTCAATCTCAACTCAAGCTGACTTCTCAGTCTCTCTCTTTTAGTGTTCACAATACCTCACTGCTTTATGGAAGCTCTATCACAAACTGTGTTTTCAAAACAAATGTATGCAAAACTTTTTTGATGTTCTGCTAATGTTGGAAGAAAAAATATTTCACAATTGGTGCGTTTCCATTAAAAAGCGTCCTGTCTATAACTCTTAAACAGGCTGTCAGCTCCCAGAAAGCGAGATGAATTGAGCTTAGTGTCCAGATCAGACATGATACTCAAATAGTTTTTTTTTCAATCTCTGTAGTTATCTCAGCAATGTAAAGTTCAAAATGTCTGCACATGTGCACCAAGTGGTTAGAGGAGTGCATTGCAACCTGCAAAAATGATGGATGACCTTCAGATTTGTCCTTCACTGTCTAAAGCAACCCCGTCAAAGACGGAAAATATTCTGTGAATGCGTTCCATGGTCCAAGGACAAGTCCTTCTTTTCAATTACTTGTGGTTCTTTAGTGCACTAATCCCACTGATAGCGGACGTACCTTTTCTCTGATCTCCAGCGCCCTCTTGCAGAGAGGTTCTGCCTCTTTGTACTTCCCTCTCTTCCCATATAAGACAGCCAGGTTATTGAGGGTAGCTGCCACCTACCAACGACACAAAACATTCATTATCTTACAATGTTTTTAAATGTTTGATCAAATTTCGCCACAAACAACTCAATCAACACCACACTAGTGCAATGCAACCGATTTGACACGAGTATTTGACGAGGGGAAAAGTGAGGTGCCTTATAAATGACAAAATACAATCAGGAAGTGATTGCGGTGACCAGTATTATGATCCAAATCAAGTTGATTGAACCTGCATCCACTCAGAAATAGGGAGGCTGCTGGAAGTGTGTTGTTGCAACTCAATTCAGATTACGTTGTGAGATCCATTAGCCAAAAAGAGGAACGACGTGAGGAAAAGAAAAGATGTGATGTGACTGTAAGGGCTGATACAAAAAGATACAAAGTGCAGAGCAGCAAAGGTGGACAGGAGAAGATCATAGGAAGAGCCAATATGTTAAAGGTCCCTATGACTTAATATAAATTATGTAAGGTGACCTTGAGTGTCAAGAAAGGCACCTACAAATAAAATGTATTATGATTATTAAAACTTCTTTGGTTTATTTAATATAACTTATCTTTAGTAAAGGGTCCTTTATTTTTTGTACAAGTCAGAAAAAAATAAATAAAAACACAATCTAAACTTATCACAGCCAACAAAATGATTTCCAACACAATCATTTAACCATTTCCCAAAAAGTGGTGTGAACCAATGTCATAAATGTCAATGTGCTTAAAACTGGCTTCTCAAAAGAAAAACAATCATTCAGTCTTTATATCTTTATATTTTATGAACCTCAAAAAGAAAATCAAATGAGCTAATCAGCCTTTATTTTGCTTATCCTGTTTCTTTTCACATGCGATGTATTCATGTGTTCTTCTTTCAGTGTTTAGAGAAGCGCTATACAAATAACATTTTTCAATTATTAGAAATTCTAAAAATCAGTACCAGCAGGTCACATTTGATTAAAACTTGTGAATGAAATTGGTTTCTCTGCCTTTAAATATTTTGATACCATCTTACCTCTCAGATTTTTTTCATAAACACTGCCATTTTAGGATTTAAGATGTAAAAACCAAATGCTTTCAAGGACCAAACTGGTGAGTAAAGAAGACCGAGTTCTTTCAGCTAAAGCTATTAAACTGTAGAACAGTCTCCCATTACCAAAGATCTGCCAGGAGCTTGGCTGATTTTAAATCTCTTCTAAGAACTAAATTGTTTTTCTCAGCTTTTAATTCTGGTGAGCTGGATAATTAACCTGACTGGTTTAATGTGAGGCCGTCTAATTAAGTCTACATGTATAAGCGTTAAAATCTTAGCAAACAGAAAGGTATGGTTCTAAAAATAAATAAATAAATAAAATGTGATAACAGATGAGTCACATTTGGCTTGTTCAAGATGTAAAAGGAAAACTATAAATTATAGAAAAACATTAAGAATGAGGAAACAAATAATCAGAGCCCAGTGGTAGATTGGAGGAGAGGAGAGGAGGGCTTACTCAGTTTGATAAACTGAAGAGTGATGAGGCTCCAAACAGGAAATACATTGTCCTGCTGGGGTTAACATAGTTAGTCCACCTGCTAATGCTCACTTCGAAATGTACAAACAGAAGGAAATTGATGCGTAAATCACTTGTTTGAACTACCAACTTAATGAGTTATAACCAGAAAGATATACATTTTATATGGGTTAAGGCGTTTCAATGCCATCCAGTTACATCTACTGTGAAAAGTGAGGGGAATGGCAGCGTTGTTTATCTGTTAGTGGTTTCTGTGTTTATCCATTGGGAGCAGGTCAACAATACATAGTGCAGGCAAACGGTGTGACAACAAACGTAATGTGTTTTGTGTGACAACATAAAATGCATCGATGTTTCTGACTAAATAAATTTCTAACTTTTACATTTATGTATTCAGTAAAAACAGACACCCAAATCTTTGTGTCTTTTATGTAATAAGAAGATGAAATCACATTAGGAAAACAAAAAGTGATGTCATTTTGTGTTAGAGGAACACAAAATTCGATAGTGTGGCATATTAACAATTCAAGGCAACTTTTACTTCAAATTAACCATCGACAGTCACTGGCTCTGTAGAGCATTTGTTTTGTTTTGTTTTTTTTCTTTTGGAACAGTTTATAAATGCAGCATTTCATTACAAATATATTTCACTGTCGTCCCGACTATAACAAGCCAAAAAAAAAAAACAAAGTAATGAGCTCTCTAAATGCAGGACAGCTTTATTTTGACATTCTTGGTCTTTACGCTCAGTTGAGCAACTGTTTGCCACAACATAAATCGGGTATCTTTTTCATCTGCCATTAGTCATTTTACTTCTAAAAGGGTCTACTTGGGGGTCAGCTTTGCTCACAAATATTTCAAACCAAATGACAGTATGAGTATTACCTAGTACTCTATGCAGGCAGATGTACTTACAGCTGGATGGTCTCTGCCAAGAGTTTTCTCTCTGATGGCCAGAGCATCGTTTAGCAGGTTGGCTGCTTCCTTGTATTTGTTCTGATCCCTTAAAGACAGGATTAAAGAGTGGGACATAAATACACAAAGCAAGGTAATACTTTGTTTTCTGCAGTGATGTATAAGTGAGCTGACAAGTTGAGTTTCAAGCAAGAAAACATCCAACAACAGTCTAGGAAAAATGGCTGTGCAATTCCTCTGCGTCATTCTTGTTCTTGGTATCTTGGGAATGTAGTTTGTATCTGAGTACTTAGAGAGGTACTCAAGTACTCAGAGAAGTGTGAAAAATAAAATGGATTATTAGTATTCATTTCCACCCATCTGGTGGAAGAGCTGGACACTTCCATTTTTGCTGGTGTAAATCTATCTTTGGTTTCATCTGAACGCAAAGCAACGAGAATCTGAGAATCCAAGCTAAACATTTCAAAGTATAGTCATGTTACAAGTAAGTGTGTCCCAGTCCGATAATAATATTGGAAATCAGTATAATATCAGGGAAAAAACAGATTATATTGGACATCATCTAAAATCTCTGATGGAAGAACAGAAGCACTCCGCTCCAGCATTTAGTCCGTCCCAGATTTTTTATCCAGCAGTGATAAAAAGCAGCTCATACACAGGCCAATTGGTCAGCCTGTCACAATAACTCATTTTTCTGGATGAAAAATTGTCCCAGAAGTTATTGCAATAAACAATGTTATTGTTGTTCTGAGACCATTTTTAAGTCATATAATGCAAAAACACACTAAGTTCTAATGAACATTTAACACTGGAACTGGAAGACATTTTAAATATCAAAAATAAAAAAGCAAAACAGAAACAACAAATAAAACTCAATTATGAAATCTCTAACAAAACCATCATTCTGTGCTGTTCCCTTTAGGGAACAGCACAGAAGACTTTTATCATCTGGTTTTTGCTAGAAAGAGAGAAAAGAGAAAACAATAAATTATGTAAATGTAAATTATTGAGCTTGTTTTAATTAAATGGTTATTATTTCATGCGTATGTGGCCATTTTTTCTCTCATAAAAGGAGAAAAGGATTTGTTAGTTAGGCCTTTTTCAATGACTTGTGGTCTGTGAACCTCTGCAGTCTTCAGAAAAAAAATATTTTAACACATATTTTAAGATAAAATGTCCAACTCTGCTACTTATCGAAAACATGTTAAGGCAACAGAAAATGAATGAGTACTCCAAACATGTAGTGAAAGCTGAAATACTATACCTATATACAAGTGCCAGGATGTTAAGCATGGTGGCTACGTCTGGGTGATCGTGTCCAGAGGTTTTCTCCAGGTCTTCCAGTGCCTGCTTGCAGAGCGGCACGGCCACCTCGTACCTGCCCTGGGACGCGTACTGGATCACCAGGTTGTGGAGGGTCCTGAGGCGGGCTGGGATCTCATAGCCACCCTGCTGGGCAGCTGCAGCCGCTGCGCTCCCATGAGCTGGCTGCACTGCACGCACAAACACAAACACATCACTGAAATACAAGACAACAAAACACCTCTAGAATGTTTTCACTGGTATTGTTACAGATCAGTTTAACTGCTAGACCCCGTTAATAAACTCAGGAGAAAAAAATCTCGTTACAACGAGAGTGTTTCTTGTTAAAATGAGGAAACTTTCTTGTTATAACGATGCAAAACATATTAAAACAGGAAACTTTTCAGATTTAATCAGAAACTCCAGTTTTAGTAAGATGTAAAACTCATCACGTTAAAATCAAATATAAAACTCATCATTTTGTTAAAACTAGTTTTTTCTTGTTAAAAGAAGATATAACTCACCTCACCAAGGTTAGTTTCTTCTTAAAACAAAACAGTTTCTCATTAAAACGAGACATAAAACTCATCTCTCTATAACGAAATACAAAATTCATCTTCTGGAACTGGTTCAGGGGTCTTTCTGTATGTTCTCCCTGTGGAAGGGAGGGTTCTCTCCGGGTACTCTGGCTTCCTCCCAAAAGCCAAGTTCAAAAACAAGTGTGTGTGTGTGTGTGTGTGTGTGTGTGTGTGTGTGTGTGTGTGTGTGTGTGCGTGCGTGCGTGATTGTTTTTTCCATCTTTCTCGGTGTTGCCCTATAATGGACTGGTGGCCCATTTGACCACTGGAATAGCCAGCAGAACCCCTCCTGACCCCTCTAGGGACAGGCATGTAAAGACAATGGATGGACCTCCTTAAACAAGAAAGCTTCTAATTTTAACGAGATGAGTTTTATATAGAAGATGCGCAGCTCTGACAGATTACGACTTGTTAAAAAGGCATAGAGCGGCTCGATATTTCTCTCCTCCTCCTCACCCAGTGTTCTCTACTTCTAAATATCCCAGGAGATGTTCCTGTTTTACTGTTACCATCTTTCTTGTTCAAAAGAGAATATATTTTGGTTTTAATGAGATATAAATCTGGTTGTAGCTAGTTTTTTAAATCTTGTTTTATATGAGAACATTTTCAATTAAATCAGAAACTGCTCTTTGGTTTATTTCCAAGCTCTTGCAGTCAGATGCGTCAGTATATTGTTATTGTCACTCTTGCATCTTTAATAAAATCAAAGCTGGAACTTGAAATGTCCCTCTTAAAGGTGAATAAGAAAATCATCAGTTACATTACTTACAGTTGCATTGCACTGCTTTAAATACCTCTCTATTTTTTTATTCAAGTTACAACAGAAAGCTGTGGTGTATTTCATTTTAATTGCAGGCAAAAATGGGCCTTTAAGCTGCGAGCTGATTTCAGTGAATGCAGGGCTGTCATGCCCATTGTTCCTGTCCTGTTGACTGCAGTTTTATAAAAACCCCTAATGGCAAGTCAGGCTGCCTAAACAAGCTCAGAGCTCAGCTAAATCTTCTCCACAACTCGCCCCGCATCAACCGCGTACCGACACTGAGAGCCTCGGGCACTTCAGTTACTGAAAGAATAATAATAATGAGGCCCAAGAATAACGAGGCCCATTTTCTTCACATACCACCATCCTGTCTCTTCGTGCATTTTACATATTTTATTTCAAATTCATGATACCAATTTATTTTTCTAGATTTTTTCTCCACTATTAGAACGCAGTGAAGTGAACAGACAACTTAATGTTCAGAAAAGCAATATAAATAACCAGGTGCCTCTGCAGGTGGTGTTTGAATCCAAAGTCTGTTTATACCAGACACAAAAAGTAGCATTTCAACTGATATTATGGGAGCAGTGGATGTCGGAAAAAGCATGTGTTGCATGTTTTTGCATCAACAGGCTTATGTAATGGCTCCACACGCATCTCTGTCTTATTTATCTTGATTTATTTTTCTTTCACTGTGTGATTCTCCCCACCTGCTCCACATCACCACTACCGCATGTCTAGGTTTCCGTCCTTTCTAAGTGTAAAATTAATGTGTTTTAACTGCCTAAAACCACTTTCAACCAAATAAATATGCATAAAATAGGACTTTAGTTTTGATTAATCAATCAAAACTGACACATTAGATATTGAAGCATTAATAACAAGAGAAAAAAAAATCACCTTTTTGCATAAAAAGTTAATACGACATTAAAAACAATAAATATATTTGTTGTTGAGCTCAATCATTTTATGTTTATGTGTGTATATTATTCAAAAATTGCTCTGAATGTCATTAAAAGTTATCAAAGATTTTCAGATTTTAACTTGTCAAAAAAAATAAATAATAAACCAGGAATCATACTATACTTTTACACAGTATTATGTTAATATATAGAGAGCAGATGAAAGCACTTACTGCCTGGAGCCTGGTCATCCTGGTCATCTGGGAAGAGGTCATCCAAAGTCTCTTTACTGGAGTCACACTCCTTCTCTTCCTGATGGTTAAAAGAAGGTAGAAAACAGACAGATTTTCTTTCTTAAAAAAGGAGAAGAGAATATCAAGTTTTTGGGTAAAAACAGGAACAAGTTAAGTTACAAAGCAGCCATTCTGCTCTCGGGATTTGTACACACAACACAATTCATTAGGAAACCAAAACAGTCTTAAAAAAAGTTAATCTCAAACTGATAATTGGAGCACCAACATTTGAAAATCTTGTCTTATTCAAGAAGAGAGGATTTATGCAGTTTCATGTAATTTCCACATATCAGCATTTTATAGCACAATCAACTAGTATGTCACCTTCAGTTGTTAAAGAAAATGCTATATGTATCACTCAAAACAATTTGTACTTTGCAATTTAATGGCTTGAATTTGAAGTTCCACCAGGTGTTTGAGAACTGCTGCTGGCTGCTCTGAGGAGGAAGCCCTGAAGTCCAGAAACTGCAGCTCTGAGGACGAGCTTCACCTCAATGGTGGAGCTAGGTCCACCCAGGTTTTTTGGACAATTGAATGGTTGCCATGGTGACTAAAGGACTTCTCAAATATCCATGAAAGAATCAAAGTAACATTTTAATTCCAGGTTTGTTTTTGATGAGGCAGCAACATTGTAACATGATATAAAGCTCATAAAGTCCATTTTCCATAATGATGCCCCTTTAAACAAAACCAACTTAACATGATTTACGTTTTAGGTGAAATTATTTGTAATTAAGGTTTCCATACAGTCAGACTCAATATGACAAGTCGCACACTGATCCATTAAATGTGGCTTGATTGACGTTTTCTAACTCAAAAAAAGGATCTATTTCTTTGCAGATGATGCTCTGAACTCTCGTACAGGAGGAGCTGAGGACTCACCGAGGGGGACAGGTCCTCGTCATACTTTTTCAGCTGGTTCATGAACTCTAAGTGCTTCTTCTCCTCCTCCAGCTGCGCTACGCTCTGCTCGCTCTTCTGCAGTTTCTGCTGCGTTCCCGCCAGCTCGTCCCTCAGCCACTGGTTCTCCTGGCACAGCCTGCGTACCTGCGCCCGCAGTTTTTGCTTCTCTGACTCAACGGAGCTTAGGTGGCTGGACAGCGCCATCATCACCTGAGCAGAGACACATTCCAGCACAGATCAGGTAACTCGAGTCAACGTGGTGCGTGATGTGTGGAAGAAGCAACATATTTTGTGTCAGGGATCTGGACTTAATGTTTTACCAAGATATTTTGTGGTACCACTGTGATAACGATAGAAGTGACGATAGGAAGGATTTATTAGTTCTTTTTTAGGCAACTGTTCTGTAGCCGCAGAAACACTGCTCTTGAAAAACATTCCCATTTTTAATATTCTTCTTTGGGGCAGCAGCCATATAAAAAAAGTGTGATTTACATGAAACTCCAAATCATAATTGCGTTTAAACAATGTTCACATTAACTGATGTTTTCATTGATCAAACATTGTGTTTTTATTATGAAAAGCACTTTGAGCTGCCTTGTTGTTGAAATGTGTTATACAAATAAACTTGATTAAGAAAATATTAAATCTAACAATCCTGTTAACACAGACAGTTTTAGAGTATCGTAAACATCACTATATGGAGTTTAACATGACAACAATAAATTAAAGAAGAAATTTATCATAAAAAGTGATAAATGATGCAAAAATGCTGGAAATTTTCTCATCTTATCTGCACTAGTTTTCAGTCCAGCCTTTGCAAAATATTTTCAGATCCGAATATCAGGAATATCTGAAGAATCTCATTATTTCTTGCACAGTCTGTAAGAAAGGGAACTAACATAATGGATTTTGAACTTTGAATAGAAACCGAACATGTATACTCTCTTGGTTTGCAACCATTGCAGTTTTTTGACCAATCACTGATCTGTTATAAAAAGCTAAAACATTTTTTTTGCCTGAAAACTCACTCTCTTCTGGCTTTCAGAACTTTACTTTCATGTTGTAGTTAAAGTACAAATTTAATGAGGTTTTTTGTGTGCAGATGATGAGTTTGCTGCACAGAGACATTAGTTATACCAAGTCCCAAAACTAAAGAAAACCTACAAGATGTAAATTAGTCTGCAGAGTGTTCATGCTGTGCAGTTTCATTTGATGGCTTAAGGAGAGGCAGCAACATGAACAACTCATTTATGACTCACATTGGCACAGGAAATTGCGATTTAAAAGAAAATCAAAAGCACTTCTGTTTTTGTTCTTCACTTCTCATTTTCATTCAGTTGTGTCTAAGAATGTCTCTGTTTAACCTGCAACACATTAACAGTTTGCTGCAGTCGGCCAGGTCCAAACACAAAACTCCCATGTCATTGCCACATGTCCAGTGTCTAATATTCATACCTATAAACATCTCCAAATTTAAACATATTACAACAATCTGTGCAGAAGAATAGTGTAAGAAGGCCTATAACATCCAGAAAAAGCGACATTTTATTAGAAACAAAAAGCTTTTTTACAAAAAAGTTCTGTTTTACATTGTTTGAAATTAAATTGAGTAAATAAAATTAAAAATGTAATTAAGACAAAAATAGCTACTTTTCTAGTAGTGTTTAATGTTTTTGGAGTGCTAATAAAAAAAACAATAAGAATCACAACAAAATGATTTTGTACTTTAAGTTGGAGAAGACCCTCAATGCTTTCAACTCTGGGTTTCTTGCTCATGTTGCAAAATGTTTGGACACCACTAATCTGAACTAATTATTATCCAAAAAATTACAAACAATATAATAAACACCCAAAATGAATCAGTCATTTTGAATGTAGGGATCAGTAGGGATTTACTTGTGTCATTTATTCCAGTGTTGGTTCCATGAGAACATCAGTATATAATGTTGGCAATTTTACCCACCCAAGCTGTAATATTTTCACCAGTCCTGAAAACAATCAAATCCTCCTGATCTCTACAGGTTCCTCGTTCGTCAGCGGCCAAAGCGCCGACTGTGCCTACCTGAGCTTCACTGAGACCGAGCTCCAGCATCTCCAGGGACTTCCGGATCATGTGCGACTTCTCCTCCACCAGGACTCCCTCTTCGTCCTGCTTCAGGCAGCGCAGCGTGCCCAGCAGGCCCTCCAGGATGGAATGGTGCTCCTGCTTCAGGGCTTCCAGGCCCTGCATCACCTGCTTGGTCCGGGAGATGATCTCATCCTGAGACAGTTTCTCCCCCGGGTCCTCCTCCTCTTTCACGCACACCATGGTGGACATGTCCTCACGCATCCTGCACATTTCAGAGACAACAAAAGAAACGAAAAAGAAAAAAGAAGTGGTTACTGACTTGCACAACTGCATCATTCCAACAGAAAAACAGCAATTTAGTGCAAAAACATTGTATTATAATAATAACAGTGTGTAATACATCTCTTACTAAAGAACCAGGTGTGGTCAAGATTAACAGAAATGCACTTAAAATTTGTGTGAGTTCCACTACAGTCTTCAGTGGAGAAGTTGTTTAAGAGAAAAGTCACTTTTCTGTAGCGATGCACAATATTACAGCGTTGTATCAGTATCAACTGGACAATAAATCAATAACAATATATGTGGCGGTAGACACATGATCAGTATTAATAGATAAAACATTTGATAGCCACTGCACTCCGGTCCAGAACCGCACTCCTTTCTGGGAGATGTAGGAAGAGTCAAGACTTTATCTGCTCAATCTCTCAAGGCTCGATTCAAAAAGTGGGTGGCATCAACTCCATCAGTAAGTACTTGGTTGCCTAGCAATGACCTGTTGAGTAACCTGTGCAGCAGCAGATTCAGGTTTCACCATCTGGAATGAAAACTCTGGATAAAACAGGAAACGTCACACCACCAGTTTGGCAGTGTTTCAGATATTTACAATAAAAAAAAAAAGCAACTGATCAATAATTATCAATATTGCCCGATATGAAACACTTCCAAGAATCACCAATGTTACACATTGGTATTTCAGGATTGGTCCTGCAAGTAAAATTGGACCGATATTCAATAATCAATATTTATTTCCATCTGTCCAACAGACAGAAGTCAGACTTTAACAAGAAAAAAAGAAAAAGGGAAAAAAAGTGAGGCAAAACTTTGAAATAGTTCATGAACACTCCAATTTTCTCTATCTGGCTAAGCCTGAGTAATGTTACAAACATTCAGTCTCTACCGGTTGAGTTACTGCAGCTGTGATTTCAACAAACAGTTTCTCTGCAAGGTATTGACTGATGAGAATCACACAATTTTCAGATTATACGATAATATGAAAGTCATGTATCCTTCTCTGTACGTTTCACATACTCTATGCCTGTGAAACATTATCCAATTAAACGCGATGAACAGCGCTCCGTTTGAGAGCAGCAGCATCCTGGTGTCTCTGGTGCCGATGGAGGACACGGTTCAAACCAGACGGCTGTCTGCTGACGGTTCTGAGGGCTGTGATCCGAGTTTGATTTACAGATAAGTGATACAAAGGACGGACTGTTGCACATAAAAACCTCTAAACATCTGACACAAATAATGAGGCAAATGGGCCGCCTCCTTAAACATTTCCTGGAATAAACAACGCCTCTTAATGACATGATAAAATTCTACAGCAATCAGTTCATATATGTTCTTAACATGCAGATTTAATTAGTGACAGCTTTCAATAACCTCTCCTCACATACTTTAGACTTCTCCACACACACACACATACGCGCACACACACCGCATAAGAGGATTATAGTGGAGTGCTTTGTAGAACTTATAGCGAGCTACTAAATACACCTCTTAAAGCACAGCAGACAAACTCCACTGATTTCAGCTGAATGATTACAAAAGCATCATGTGGTTAAATACAGAAATGAAACTCCTGCGTGTCTCATTGTTCGTTTCCCTAATAGCGTAGCAAAGCAGTCACCCCACCTTTGTGTAAACGCTTCTATAGGTCCAGGTGGAGACGTCGAGTTCTGCCTGAACCGCCACACACATTTCAGATGTCAGCGAACGCACCAGAGAGAAGACGGCGAGCTGCAAACCAAAGCAGGCGGACGCAGCAAGGAAAGCCTGCAGCTCCGATCGCTCCATGTGACACGGCAACCGGGCCGCAGCCTATCAGATCCACAGGAAGTTGGAAGCTGACACTGCATGCGTACTGTTGTTACGGGAACGGATGGGCGCAGAAGCAGCCAGTGACAAACAGGGTTTGTGAAGCGAGGAGAAACTAACTAGAGTCCCCAAAATATTTCAATTAAGCTGATATATATATATTTTTTTTTAGAACCTCAAGGGTTTCGGAAAGGGTTAAATGAAAAAAAAGCAACTTCGAAGTACTCTTAATCTTCTACTTAATTAGAAAGTTGTTCATCAGCTCAGAAGACGTGCTTTTGCATATTACAAATCACAGCAGGGCTATTATCTGATGAAAACACCAAGTTTGACTTTATTGAATAAGTATAATTAAACAAAATGTAAAATACATAGTAGTGAATTATGTTTACACAACCAAAGGGGTTGGTAGAAGTATAAACTTATCATTTCACCCACCCCTCTCCCATCTACATCACCCAATAAATTACTATTCATGTTAACTGTGTTAACAGTCTCTTAGTCAGGATTTTCTATATCCATATCTATAACTGATAGAACACATTCATTCACTATTTTAATGCCATTTTGAGCAAGCAGCGATCATTTTTAACATGTTACTCTTTCAAGATCAACAGTAATAACTGATCATTTAAATAGTAAAAGCATTAATAATAGAATTACATTAACTATTTCTCATATGAACATGCAGCGATGACCATCTTTTTAAATGACATTTTAAACAGTTTTTTTAAAACCAAAACTTTGAAAATAGAAACAAGTTCAGACCTGACTCAGCATGAGTCCAAGGCTATAAAAACTGAACCTCAAATAGTTTTTAGACTTGCTGTTGTCCTGCATTGCACTGCTAGCAAGCTGTGCAGCTCCAATTTATGCAGATACTTTTTTATGCAGATACTTTTTGCGTACGTTCTGCAAAACTTTATTTATAACACGCCCATATAAACTACATTAATGTAAAATATTTATGGTTTTTCTGTATTTCACCTTTTCACATTGATCTCACTGAGTTGTGGTTTCCTCAGTCATGTGACCTGACCTGCCCTGTGCTTGCATAAGTACATCAACATCTCTGCTGTCTATAGAACTGCTCACAGCACAAATTAAACACCGGTATTCAAATATGATGAAGTACTAGGACATTCTGCAAACACCCACAGTGTTCTACCATCACTAAGCCTGCGAATTAATTAATTTGCATAATAATTTAAAATAAGCACCATAATCTCCATTCAGGTGATTAATATTTTTTAAAGGGCAATTATGTTTACACAGATTTCCATTAGTTTCTTAATGGTTTTGATTGTGTGGGGTTCTTAATTTTATTTGTATTTATTGACTCTTCTGGTTCTTAAGAAAATTTAAGTTTATTGGTCCTTAAGAAGGCAAACATGCATTATTCTCTTATAGTCAATATATTATTTGAAAATGATCTCTGAACGATGCTGTTATAGTTTGCCATAATAAATTTTGGGTCAATTTAATGTTCAGCAAAATTTGTAAAACATTTGCAAGTCAAAACTCCCTTTATTTCCCCTCTAGCATTAATGAAGTAACAGATCATTTTAATCAGAGTTGTTGTCGATGCTGATGGCTGAAGATCTAAAGCGGTCTGTGTTACAGTGGTTCTGAAAAAGTCTCTGACTGAAGACACCAGCTTCGCGCTGCAGTTATATGAAGATGATTGTTTGTAATTTTCTTGCATCAAATCATTTACACATCAGCTGGAGCTCCAGCTCATCGACTCTGGAAGAAATCAACTCGGTGATCAAACTCATTCCTCCACCACTTACCTGTTACCATGGAAAATAATGTCTCAAACTCATCAATCAGAGTGGTTTAAGAAATTTGAACTAGTAACTGTACATCAGTTCAGACGGGTCTTCAGTTTTTTGCTGTTTTGTGTGATCCTGTTTTTTTTTTTTTAGCTGGTGAGTTGATGGGAAGTTAGACTTTGATCCACCACAGACATGAACTGTTGACTTTTATGAAGGTACATAAAGGCTGTGTTTCAGAAAAACTATGGTGAAACACGACCATGATCAGTGTTCTCTGGCTTCCTGGGGAAGCAGTGTCCCTCCCCCATCTGTTGCTGTGCACTGCTGGTCAGCAGCCAAAAAGGTTTTTATAGTTTCCTTTTTTTTATTTCTACAAGAAAAAAAGATTCTGAAGTTTAAAGATATCTCTGGTCATGAAAAACATTCAGAGTTTGGCAACTAAAGCAGTGTCCTCTCTCATATTAAGGTCATTTTAAATCTTGGTTCATGTCTATAACATGGCTAACTCCAGGCCACCTCCAATCTAATTAACCTGCTAAAAATCATCACTTTTTAAAAAACATCTTTAACTGCTAAACAGGCATCATATCTTGCAATCGGAAAAAGTTGTGGGTTCAATTCCTACCCTCAAGTTGCCTGCCAAGGTGTTGGGTCAATAGACATGTCCCTGCTTATGGGTAACTGTGGCTCTAGTGTGAAAGTGTTTTGAATGACTACTCCAGTCCAGCAACCATAACTGTTCTAGTCAATGTAACGTTATTCCAGCATTAAATTTGAACAGCTTTTTACTGATTAATACATTTACATTTAAGCCATGTTATACAACTTTTGGGTCAATACGAGAACCTTATAGCAGCCCATGTCTTATTTACAGAAGTTCTCTGAACATTTGCATGAAAATAAACTACTAACAAGAACATAAAAATATGACTTTGGCAATTATGCTCCTCCACTCACAAAATGACTCTTAATTACTGCATTGAAACTGCAGTACATCCTGAGCGCAACCATTCCTCTGTTAGTCAAAGGACGTTGACTCAGACGGTATAATTGCCCAGGTGTGGCAGTGGACCTGTGGGAGTGGGAGTGGACCTGTGAGAACAATTGAACTTCCCTGTGGATCCGCACGAGCCCTGAAATGTGAAACGTCCACAGCAGACACCTTCAGGTCTCCCAGCTGTGAGCTGCACACTGAGATCCACTGTGTCTCAGAAAAGGGACTGTCCGACACTTCTCAATCTCTTCTGAATATCAATGAGATGCAAAAGACGAGACTTTTTTTTTTCCCTCAGGCGTTTTCAGAAGCTGACAGGCATACTTCTGTCTGTCTGGCTCGTGCTCTTATTTGTTCGCTTCCAAGTGGATTAACCAGAAGAACTAGTTAGCCAGAACTTTCCCGTCGAACCACAGAGCAAACTCCGAGCTAGCATTCATTGACAGTTGCTTGTGGCGTCTAATTCCTGGCATCAGCGTGAACACTGAACAGCCGGCGTATTCCCTGAACCACCGCTGTTCAGTTTATTTACACGCTTCAATTTCAAGTACGTGCTCGCTGAGAAAATAGTTTAAAAATCACATTCTGAACGTTGTATGTCAGTGAGATGCATTAATTAGCCGATGAGTGCCGCCCAATAAATACTCGGAGCCATTCTTACCGTTCTGTGGGACATTCGTTGCCAGTGGAGCTCCACTGAATCGTTCCAATTTGCCCTTCTCGTTTCCCCCGAGCTGTCCCCCCTTTTCCGTCACCAACAACTTACGGTTGTGAAAAATATTAAGAAGGAAGAAGCAGAAATTCCAACCAGTGCCTCGTCCAGGGGTTGGGTGTTTTTGGTTAGCTGGACCCTACTGCATCAAATGCTACAGTCCGGTTAGCTACATGCTAGCACCTAGCAGCCCTACGTCAAAACATTGAGTCCAACCGGAGCCGCTCAGGTGAATATCCTGTCCTGTTCCATACCAACAGCAGCTCCGCGTCACTGCCCAGACCGAGGCGTCACGTGACAGACTTGCACAAATGAATCGGTGCTGCAGATGACAGCCCCGCGAGACGATGAGTGACCGCTCGGAGCGTGAAAATGGCGTTAACCGGCGCCCCCTCCTCAGCCCTCCCCCGATAACACTGATGTCATCTTGACGGGATTAAAGAGGAAGTTGCGGTGACAGTAATGAGCCAGATTTGTGATACAATCTGCAGCGTTGAAAAAAATCTCAATGTATGCTTCAGAGTATATTATTTTATGGGAATGAAAAATATCTTAGCGATCGACCCGAGTTATATTAAAAAAACAAAACAGTTCAGTTCACGAAGACTGTGGCGCCATCAAGGGGGAGCATGGGAGGCCATGGTCACATCCTTTCCAGATCGTCTTAAATGCATAATATTTCTTGCAAATTTAATTCACGAGGGAAGTTTTAATAAATTTAAGACATACATTTTTGTCCTCTACAGCCTGCTAATTTTGAGTAACACTCATTCTCATTTCCAAAAATGATAGAATAATAAAACTATTAAAATCAGTATCTGGCTATTAGTTTCTGAGTGGCACCAGCTGAGTTATGTTACTTTTTAAATGGATATTAAAAAGAAATATCCTTACTTTTTAGCAGAATTTTACAAACGTTCTGAATACATAATGCTGATGAAATCAAAACACAGTCAGACATGTGGATGGTATGTAAATATTTATTTATTGAATTGTTGGAGTGTTGTTTTTCTTCTTGAGATGTTTTTCAGTTACAGTCCTCCAAAAGTCGTTGAGGGCAATTCGAGCCATGAGCAAAGTGATGGTGAAGTTTCGTCTGTACCACTCTCTGGATGTGTGGGAGGAAAGGCAAAAAAAAAAAAAAAATCAGCCATGCAAATTTATTTATTTATTTATTCTGTTAAAATACTGAATTGTTCGTTTAATACACATTTGCATAAAAAAAAGCTACTAACTTGTTGATTACGGCTTGTAAAAAAAAAAAAGAACATGAGCAGAAAGGAAAACAACAATAAAATTATCTGAAGAGTTGATGCATTTAGGCAGAAAACAAGTCTGCTATTTTAGCGTGTTTATCCACAAAACTCTCTCTAGACTAGAGCCTGTCATGATTGTTCTCTGCACAGAGTGGTAAAGCGCCGCTGGAGCACTGGGACATGCACCAGCGGCATCATGGGAAACATCAAGTGTACAAAAACAACTCACCTGTTGTAATCTGCATGGCGCTCTTTGTTTTTGTCCAAGAAGCTTTTGTAAAACACAGCCATCTCTTCACTGCTCAGGGAACGCCGTCTTCCTGGGGGACAGACCAAGATGCTCCGCATTAATTCACTACAATGTCATCTTAAAACATCAGAGTGTACCCAGAGCATCTTTTAAAGGAATTTTTTATTCTCATCAAACATATATATGAATATATACTCACCATCTTCTCCATGTAAAGTCAAGCCTTTTGCCTTCAGCTGTGAGATGATGTAAGCTTCTTTTTCCTGTAGAGAGAAGGAAAACAACGTTGTTGTTTCCTGCTTTTAAACTTTTCCCTTGAAAAATTTTCTTAAAACTGTTTAAAAAAACAGGACTTTGAAAGAAGCTTTTATTGAAACAGTAAAAACATCCACCAACCAACAGCTGTCAGCTGTTGAATGAAGTCATTTTTTTGACAGGCTTCTGAAATATATATTCACTTCTATTATCACTATTATTTATGAAATATATATTCATAAATAGTTATCTTTCTTTTAGATGTACCTGTAGGAACACTGAAAGCATAATTATTTCAGTATATTTTCTACAGATTGTTGTACATTGCTGCCCTCTGCTGGTATAAATAAGACTCTACACAGCCATGAGCTGTGCAGAGTCAATTAAAGGAATTGAAATCTTCTGGGAGTTTTACCTATGAACAATATATATGCTTATGTAAACCATTAAATGAATCAAACAAATGGACTGGGGAAAAGTGAATTCAAACCTTGCTGAAGTTGACGTTCTGCCTGGTCCAGAATACGTGATTCCAGTCCTCAGTCTCCTGCCTCAGTTTTCTCAGCTGCTTTTCCACATCAGACTCGTTCTCACTGACGCGGTAGACAATGGGTCGCAGGTTTGATAGAGGGTTTGGGGGACCGATCCAGTCATGTGTGGAGCTGGGTTCTGGCCTTGATGCAGATATCTACATATATCAAAAAGTGGAATAGTTAATGGTTATAAGACAAAGAAGCAATGAATTTTAAAAAATCTATATATGATGCAAGTTGTTTGCCTTTAGTTTGAACGAAGACTCTGGAAATCATTTGCCTTGAATTAAAACATCTGTGCAAGGAGATAAAATGATTCAAACAGATTTTTTTTAAATTGATTTTTTAACTCTTCGTTTATGGTTGTCACTTTACAGAGTGTTAGAAAGAGGGAGTGAATACTTTTTGCAAGTCACTGCAGTTGTCCTGTGCACAGATGGACGTCACAAGTCTTTAGCTGAGGCGATAAAACGCAGTGCTTATCATTTCTGAGCAGCCGTCGTCATGGGAAAAGCGAGAAGAAAAACACGACGCAGGACACAGGGGTCAGAAAAAAGGTACACACACCTGAGACACACAGCTTCCCAGCAACCAAATGACTTATACCTAGATTATTTTCCTTCCTCGCCCTTCGGTCGTTTATTTAGATTTAATGTTCTCTTGCATTTATGCAGATAGCCTCAAATACTACTCCAGACTCTTTTAGTAAACAGGGAAGTTTAAGGTCAAATTTCTGACACAAGCCCAAATCATCACAGCCCCGCCACCGTGTTTTGTACACACAGGGTTGGCTTGTGTTGAGATGCTGTTAGATTTCCTCCAAAACCTAATCCTACATTAACTCCTGTAAATGTAGGAGTCTTGTGGTTCGTTCAGATGGAAGGGGGGCGGAAGGCCATTAAAGTTCGGTACTAAAGTTCAGATTATGACGGCTAGAAGCGACTGCTTATGAATGGTTTTAAGGAGAAAGCAACAGAGACCATGTACCCGCCCTCTTTGACACTGAGTCAACCCATGCTGTTAAAATAAACTAGGCGGTAACTGTGGACAGTAAATACTTTAAACGAGTTGTCCACACATAAAATAAAAGCTCTGATACGGACCTTTATAGGTTTTTCCTGCTCGGAACTACAGAGCCGACTACTGGCTCCTGACATCCGGTGCAGCCGCAGAGGGGCCAGGAAGAGGCCACCGACGCTCCTCCATGTTGCCATTTGAATTACCTCAACATTAATCCGTATTTGTGATTGTGATAAAGGGGAAAAACAATGTGCCCTTTGCTAGCGCCCTCCTGTTTCTACTCTGTTCACGCTCTGCTACTTCGACAAACGTTCCTGGCAACAGCTCCACCTACCGGTCGGTGTCATCCTAATGAAAACGACTTGCCCCAACGACTCCAGCAGTCCTTTGAAAACATACTTTATTAAATATGTATACGAACAGACCTAGTCTTTACCATTATATCTGAACAGAAAAAAATAAAAATACAATTCTCCACAGAAATTTAAACAAATATATATTTTTTTTATCGTGATCAAGAAATCTTTTTCTGATTCTTCACCAACTTCAGGTAATTCCCAAATAAATTATTCTTTCTATATGTGAGTTTATTTGTTAAAATATGTACCTGTGAATAAAAAAACTAAAACAAAAAAAATAAATGTAATTAATCAGAAAATCTTTTTTTTTTTTTTGACGAAAGATCCAAATGCAATCATTTTTACTGTCAATCATTATAATAGTCGCCGAAGTCAAAACAAATACACTGTATTAAAGTCAGAGTGCATAGATCCCTCAGTTCCTTCTTACGTATAGTCAAGTTAATGCAAAGGGGTGTGTAGGTGTGCTCGAAAACTTCACCAGCGCGCACCCAGTTCTTAGAAACCCCGCCTTTATCCCAGGTGCTTTCGACGTACTTTGCCTCTCCTCTGACCACTTGAGATCGCGATAGTAAAAGGAGCGCACCAAATGTTGGACAACAAAAGCTTACACCGAGTTAGAAAACTATGAAGTCGCTTATCAGAAAGTCGACACTTCATTGTGTTTTTCTCACTATGTTAAAATAATTTGCATGCGTTATGCAAACATTTATACATATTATGCTTTTTAATTGCGGAGACAATGTAAGTAAATTACCGTATACTCATTGGGAAAAATCCAACTCCGTGTAAGTTTACACAGTTGAGCAGGAAAGTAACTGCTAGAAGGTAGCTAGGTAGGCTAATGTTAAGCTTTAATCAGCGAAGGAGCATTTTATCCCACAGCAGTTCAGATGGCTGTACGCTGGTTATGCAGGTGAGTGGGGAGCTGGTATATTTGTATATTAAGGGCTTATTTTAGATCTAAAACCCCGTCTTTGTTTCAGCAGGTGGGGCAGAGTCAGGTGATCATCGACACTGAAACACAATGGTTTTAACAGTGTATGGAAGCTGCTTTTTTTTTTTGTTCGGTGCTTTTTAGGTTTGAAATCATTCGTTTAATCTGCATGTATGCTTTAGTTACGCATTTAATTCAAAACTAAGTAGCTGTAAATGGTAGTAAATGAAGACAGTGGTTTCTATCGTGGGAGGGGCGACACCATTCCGACCGCAGTCATTCAGTCAGTCAGCGGCAGCAGAAGCTCCGGTGGTGAAGCTGACCGGAGCGTAACCGACATTCCTGCCTTCGTCTCGCCACGCTCGGAAGCCTTTTTCTTTCACAGGCCGATCTGGCTGATGGAAACAGAGCTCGGCCAAAATGTGCGCGAATGTGTTCGGCGTTTTGAAAAGGTGAGACCCAGCGATGGTCATGTGTGTGTGTGTGTGTGTGTGTGTGTGTGTGTGTGTGTGTGTGTGTGTGTGTGTGTGTGTGAGCGGGGATGCAGCTGACAAGCATCTGGAGATGCTTCAGGCGGTGTACGCGCTGGTCTCCCGATCCCTTAGCAACCGGCCGGCCGATCGGGGCATTCCGTGGTGACATAATGCGCAATGCCGGTGCAGGCAGCCTGGAGCTGGGGATGGATCTGGGGATGGCGCTCGGTGGTGGATCGCATGTTACCTGTAGCCCTGTAAGCCTTCATGCTGGGTGAGCGCCTTGCTACGAGCTGCAGACGTTATCTCTCGCATCTTCCCATGAGTTATTTTCCTCATCTTGAGTGCCGTGAGGGGAAGCAGGAGAGGAGTGGCTTCCCATGCTGGATTTGTTTTTCCTGAGCTTTATCCTACTAAACATTCGGATTTGGAAGCTTTCGTCTGGCATGCGATCATCCACTATTCTGGAAATGCACATCCCCTCGCCCTCTTACATAACGGAATGTTGACTCCAAACAACATTTATTCCAATCATGCTTTGGATAATAATAATAATAAAAAGAATAAAAATACATTACCGGTATGTTGTGGAGCAGCACCTGTTTACTAGAACCATGAAACTGTGTCTTTACCATGCAGGACAGAGGACAAGGACTGGAGACCTCTGTCCTTCAAGACCTGAGGGATTCAAAACAGAATCTCTAATTACTTTCTTTTATCAAAATCTTCACTTTGGCAACCCTCACATAGAGACCAGGGTCATGGTGCACACTAGTAAGTGCTGTCATTTGTAAAATTACAGGGGAAAAAAAACAAATAACGGCAATAATTTTGTTTTCTGAGCCCATATAGAAAAAGAAAAATGAGGAATTTCATTGATTTATTTATGAATGTCATACAGAGCTTGCAAAAATATTTAGTTTACAAACTAAATGCTTTGCTAGCTGAGTATATATGTGACTTGGAGCTGCATATTTAATTGGCTCACTAATTATTTAGCTGAAAAGTGACTCAATTGGCTTCAGAAGTGATATCAAAAGATGAATATCCAAATTGACAAAAATATTATATGAATTTAAAACAAATGGCCAAGAGAGCTTTTAACTCCTGTGTATTGTGCTTTTACTGATCTGGAAAAAACAAAACAAAAAGAAAAACTGTTCAATTAAGCTTGCTACTCTAATTTCAATGCTTAGTTGAGGATATTTAGTTCTTTTATTAGTCGGTGGTCTAATTCAGCAGGTAAGTCCAATAACAATATCAAGGGTAACACAATCCTGTCTCCACTCAGACTTGAGACTTATCCACACTTAGCCTGGTATTTATAAAAGTGAATATATCTCCCACGTTGTTTTAAAAGAATATTGTACTCATAGGATTGTTTTCAGAAAAGTTTTTATTCATAGGAACTTCTGGCTACTTGTGCACTAGGCCTCAGTGCTGGTTGCCAGTTGATCTGCTTTCATTGTGCTCCTTTTCCAGTCTCTTTGGGAAACCTTTTGATGGTGGCAAAAGGATGGACCATGGCAGTTCACAGGACCAGCAGCAGCATCCGGCGGAGCAGCAGCAGCCTTACCATCCGCAGCATCCTGCGATGATGAGACTGTACGAGGTCCAGAAAGAGGTCTCCACTCTGGGGCCGCAGGTCTGCACCTTCAGCGGCCTGCAGAACGACCGAGAGTACAAGCGCATGGAGCGCGAGCTGACCCAGCTGCTGCTGCAGGTGGACCAGGTGGACACGGAGGGCAAGCTGGAGCTGCAAGGAGCGCGCAAGAGGGCTGCGCAAGAGGTGGAGGGCCTTCTGCGGTACCTGGAGGAGAACGCCTCCCACCCGTCCCGCCTGGCCATCGAAGAGCTGAGCAACGCGGCACGGGAGCTGGTGGACGAGCGGGTGGTGGCGCCGCAGCGGGCCGGCGGGGTGGCGGAGATAAATGACGAGCTGGTGGACGCCCTTCAGGAGTTCATCCTCAGGCTCACCCAGATCAAGACTGAAGGCCGGGTGCCGCTCCGCAAGGCGCGCTACCGAGCCCTCACGCGGCTCTGCGCCGTGCAGGACGTGCTGGAGAGCCGCACGCCGCAGCAGACCCTCTCTCTGCCCCTGTCGGGGGAGACCCACGAGGCCGTGAACCGCATCAACCAGGTCATGGTGAAGGTGAGCATGGCTCGCAGTCAGCTTCTGGCTTTGCTGATGGGGCTGAGCGGGAGGGACAGCTGCGCGCACCTGTCCCGCATCCTGACGGAGCTGCAGGTGGAGCTGGACGCCCTGGACGTCTCCGGTAACGCGGCGATCCGGAATTACAGGAAACAGGTGGTGGAGGAAATAAACGGCCTGCTAAAACACCTGGACCTGGAGGGAGAGGGGGACGACACTCGCAGGTACATCTCAGTTTCCTTCAAATAAGACTGTCACAATAAGCAATTCATGAACCATAAATGAGCTCAGTCATGTTTATTTTGATGACTGAAGGGCAAGTTTATTCACAGATACCTGATCATACATTGTACTTGTCGTTTCGATTGTTTTTTATTTTTATTCCCAATTTTGGTTGTCGTATTTTATTTTGGATATTTCAAATATCTTCCAGTTCCAGTGTGATTTTTAGAAGATCACAGTTTGAGAGGGCGAATCTGCATTGATAGGCCATTGTCAGTAAATTACTTGAAAATCAAACAGATGATTTTCTGTACTTGGTGATCCTGTACTTGATGGCAGAGTGGCGAGAAGAAAGCAGTAAGTTCCTGTTTTACCTTCACCACAAGCGGTTTACATATGGAACTTGTTCCAGGTAGATTTTTTGGCAAAAGTTAAATGTTGAGCGTCGCAGACTGTAACACAGAATGGATGAAAATGTTATTCTCCAGATGTACAAAGCTGGTAGACACATGTTCCAAAACTCTTGTAGCTGGACATTGCAGCAAAAGATTGTTCCACATAGTCCTGTCTTAGGGGAGCTGAACACATATACTAGGAAAGTTTGGAACCCTGTTCTGGTTTCCATTATCCAGTGATGATCGGAGAGAGCTCAGTATGGTGAACCTGTGTCCGTCTCTGTAGGTATGATTTGGCGCAGAACAACTCCATCCGTGAGATCGAGGCTGTGCGAGCCCACGTCTCCCACTTACGAGAGGGCGTCCTGCGACACTGCGTGATGGGTGACCTCAGCTTCCGGCCCAAAGCCGAACTCCAGAGCCTCCTCACTCACCTGGACCAGGTGGACACGGCCAAAAACCCGTGCATCAGAGAGGCCCGCCGCCGCGCCGTGGTCGAGGTCCAGGCCGTCATCACCTTCCTGGACCTCCGCGAGGCGCTGCTGTGCCGCCAGCCAGGCCCTGAAGAGCACCCGTCGCACCGGGCTGTGTGGATGGTCCTGGGCAGCCTCTCCGACCTGCAGGCCCAAGTTCTGGGCTTTGACGGCAAGCGGGCCGACAAGAGCTACATGATGCTGGAGGAACTGCTGACCAAACAGCTGCTGGCACTGGATGCCGTGGATCCACTGGGTGACGCGTCCACCAAGGTGGCACGGAAGCAAGCGGTGAAGTTCGCCCAGAACATTCTTAACTACCTAGACATGAAGACGGACGAGTGGGAGTACTGATTAATCCAGGACCACGTTGGGTCGGACACGGCTGCAGGAATTAAAGGAGCTTGAAAATGGAGCGTCATCATTCCGTTGGCTGTAAATATTGCCTGAAATACCCAGAATCCACTGCAGCAGAGGTTTTTTTTTTTTGTCCCTTTGTGGTAGTCAAGGCCAACCCATCTGAAACTCCTTTTGTGAAACACATTTTGCCAAGTATTTTTCTCTGTGCTCTTTGATTGTGTGTATGTGCGTGTGTGTGTGTGTGTTTGTGTGTGTGTGTGTGTGTTTGTGTGTGTGTGTGATTTGCTCGTTGCTCTCATTGTGTTTGTTGTACGGTAGTAGAAGCCTGCAGCCAAAGCACGGAGTAACTCTCGTTGTCTTCTCCTCCAGACTGCACTTCATATTGATAAAACGTTCACTTAGAGTGATTGTAAATCAGTGGCCTCTTTTATTAACTTGACTGTCAGTTGCTAATGGAGACAGCTGGTGATACGCTGCCAGAGGAAGGAGTGGCTCATTCTGTAGAACTAGAGAAACCAGGCAGTCGCTGTGTTTCTGTTCCAAATGCGCGCAAAACTTTTGTCTATTGTGGTCGTGTCAAAGAAAAACACAAGTCACCGCGTTCCCGTTGAATGAGACACAATTAAAATCACGTGAATAAGTTTGTTCACGTGTTAAGTCAATAAGATCCATGCGGCGCTTCCAACTTCTTCCTGTTGTCGTTGTCTTTGTGGTCTTTGCTAGTGGCAAAAACCACAAAGACGTGCTCCAACAGTGTCCATCTGAATCAAAGACAATGTTTCCATAAATAAACCCAACTTTTTAAAAAAATATCTCAACTTAGCATCAAAACTTTATAGAAAAATTTGTTGTTTGAAATAGACATGTTTCCAGTAAGGAAATTTATTTTCAGAATGTCAAATTGTGTAATTTTATGGTCAATGAAATCACAGCCACATGCTTGCTCAATTTGACATTTAAAAATACATTTGTTCACTGGAAGCGGGCCAATTTCAAAAGAATGACTCGGTTTTTGTTGATGTTTCGGCACTAGCATAGAAATTTGTGCATTTCACAAAACTGCAATGGAAACACTTTTTTTGCATCACACAACTCACCTGATCAACACCGGCGCAACCCATGAAGAAGAAAACAGGAGGAAACGGAGAGATCATGGTGCTGCATACTTTTAATATCACGTGAACAAACTTATTCATGTGATTTTAACATATTTCTTATTTAGCAGAAACACAGCAAATGCAAAATTGTTTTTTTTTTTTTACATTAGCAGAATATTGACAACGTTTTGCGCACATTTATAATAAAAACGCAGCTACTTCAGGCTGATTTTACTGCATTATCTACTTTATTACATCTTCAAGGGTCAGATTGCAGACATGCACATGGGTCTAATAACATCTGTGTTCTACCAGATGGAATTAGACAGTAGGAGATGAGGTTGCTAATCTTCAGTCATTCTCCATGAAAGAAGAAAGGATCTGAATTTCGGGGCCAATTTCTGATCTCTGATTTTCATAAAGCTTTGACCTGCCGACGTAGATTTAGATCTGATTTTCCTCCTTGAGTTTTAACATAGCCACGTCTAATTACAGCATGCAGAATAATTTCTCCTTCACAGGAAGAAGGCCAGAAAAATTAGGTTATCAGGAGGAGAGGTGACATCACACCACACAGCGGTTGCTGTAAAACAGTTTTGATCATTTCAGCATGCATCAAACCTAAGGTGCGGGGGCCAAAGGCTTGACAGTTTTGCCCCTCGAGACAAAAATATTTGGTTCAAGTTGCGCTAATTCCCACCTGTAGGTGGCAGTATTTCTTACTTGTAATACAATACTGCCTCAGATTTCATCGGGTTGTCATCCACCATAAACAAAGTCACATTTACCACCATATATTAGTGTAAATACCTCAAAAGTCTTTGTAAATATTTCTAAATTAGCACCAAAACGTCAGAAAATCAATCAACATAACGTGGAGGGACCACTCAATGTGAAAAGAGCTCAAGTTTAAATAGTACTTATCAAATGCAGAGACAATTAGTCATTAATATTTGAACAGCTGTTTATGCGTTTTATCAATATATTCTGGACAACTGGCCCTTTGGGAAGATTTAAAGCAAACCCGCTCATTGAAAACCACCTTTAGCATCTTATGTTAGCAATTAGCATGACAAGCTACCAAACCAGTCGCACCAAAAGATTCTGATGTTTTTTAGACAGTCAGACGGAGGTTACAACTAGCTCAACAGGAGAAAACAGAGCAACTTTCCTGTTGAGCCTTCATGTTATCAGCCCAAGTCTCGCTCTCTCTCAGATTTTATTTTCTAAGTGAGCTGAAAGAAAAAAATGGTCTGTTTGAAGTCACCGACAGCCTAACAGTTGACAAAGAAGCGCTAAAAATCTATTTTAAGATTACGTGGAAGTCATGGATGAATGTTTTTTTTTTTTTGTTTTGCAGCAGGATGTTACAGAGATGGAAGGCTTCAGTTTTAGCTGCATCTGTTGTCGTCTGTTCTCAGATGTTTGTCCTGACCGTGTAATGATCACACCAGGCTGGAAATAGATCAGATATGAATCCTTTCAGGAGACGCGGGGCGATATTTCGACGTTGCTGCTTCTGCGGCTTCTTGTCTATTTGTTTCTACCCACCGCTTTCCGTTGAGGGAGACTGAAGCCTTTTGAGGAAATTGGACAGAAAGAGGCAGAGGCGACGATATCTGCAGGACTGGCGTGTGGAGGAGGGAGCTCAGGGGCCCCCGCTGGAGGGCCCTCGGCAGGGAGGCACTGACGGAGATCACAGTCGACAGAACCTTCTAGAAACTTCTCCGAGCTGCTGGAGAAGCAGGGAGAGAGAGGAAGGACGTGTAAAGAAGTCTGAAGCTCTGTGCCTTTTTACTTTTCAGCCTTTTTTTTTTAGCCCATCAGTTTGTGTAAGACAGTGTTTTAGTGCAGCAAAAATAGAACGCGTTGTTTCTGGTATGCATCGATGCACTAGAATAGGACACCAAGAACTGAATGTTTCACTGAGAGAGCACCTTGGCCAGTGTCACCACATGTTTGCACTGGGAGTCTTTTCTTTTTTGTTTGTTTTGTCTCCTTTTCTTTTCTTTTATAAATGCGTATTTATTTCCCAACAAAGTTCCAGTTAGACTGACATCTGAATCAGTCAGCCACAAACTTCAAAGTATTTTATTGGGACTATAAGGTCAAGAGCAACACAATATTTAGATGCGTTTATATATGAAGGATCGCTAATATACAATCGGTATCCATAATCACCGATGTGGATACCGATCTTACCAATTTGCTAACATGGTTATCAGCGGATGTCAGTAAACTGTTAACATATCGGTATCGGTCTGACAAGTGAAACTGGGCCGATGTTTCAAACTGATGTTAAGTTCCATTTTCAGGAGGGCGACAGGATGGGTTTGGTCATTTGGTATTTAAGTTTTTTTTTTTTTTTCAACAAATGAAAGTTTTAATACATTTTGTATTTACTCTGATACCGTTGAATTAAAACCTGTGTGCTGTAAGGTTATTATTTATTTATTATTTACAAGGTAATGCACTTTCCAAAAACTCCATCCCTATGTTGAAGCACGTTGGTGGCAGCATCATTCTGTGCTCAGGTTCTTCTGCAGGCATTTAAGAATCTGTTTCAGTGATATAAATTGAATTTCAATTCAAAAATAAAGAAGTTCATTTAGATTCTTAATCACATTTCTGATTAATATATTTAATTATTAATTAGATGATTTTGTGGCAGCACTTGAAAGCTGTTCTCCCTCCAATATTAATAAACTTTAGCTATTTTGCAAATAACAGTTTGATTCACTTTCAAGGAATGTGGAAACCTTCCCAAACCTCTTCATAAACATGTAGGATAAATTCAGCTTCTTTTTAGAAAAGTGATGCCAACATTGAACTGTTTAGTCTTTTCTTTCCTTTTTTTTGTTCGTTTTTTGTTTTGCATGAGTGTTTACAGCTGAGTTTTGTATTTAGGTCACAGAACTGACTGAACGCAGTGGAGTCTGCTGTTTACACACCAAACCAACATCCAGCGCAGGTTCAGTTTATTTATGCGAAATGTCAATTAGAGGTTTAGATACGCAGAAAAACTGCAGTTATATACACGAGGCACAGCATGTGACGGGCCGCAGCTTCACAAACTAAACTGAACCAAACTTTTCAGTTTGAAATTCACAACAGGCCGTTCGTCGGCGCTTTTGCTTGAAATGTCGTGGAGTTCAGAAGTCGTTGATAAAAGTGCAGCTCCTGAAAACATCTCGTCTCCTCTTGAGAGCAGATGTTTTGAGATATCTGCGTCTCGATACACAGCAAAATCAAATTGCATAAGAGCATCTTTTACCTGCTGCAGACACTTTTTGGCACAAGGCCTCCAGCTGCTCCTGTGTGTCCAGACGAACGCTGCGTTCACAACATCCTGCACTCACTTTGTTCTGACTGATTCACCAAACAGTCATGAGGAAAAGAAAGCACACCCTCTTTTATTCAAAGTGTTTACCTTTGAGGATACTCTGGCTGTACAATGAGTTCAGGCGAGCCTCAGGTTCCACATTATGAATGAAGATCGAAGCTCCTGCTTTGATTGAACAAGATTTTAGAGGGGAAGTAGTTCTTACTGATTGAAGAACTTGATTGGATGATCAGAATTCTGTCCTTTTTCTCAGAAGAACAACCGACTGTTAGAAAATAGGAGTTTGTGTCTCGTTGGTCTGGGAGACGCTGGCGTGTATTGAAGGCAACAGCAACTACAGTAAACTGTAAAGAAGCAACTATTGTTACCTGAAAGAGTTCATGAGGTCAAATGTCTGTCATTTGGAAGTGAGAAATATTATTTATAAGAGGAAAACACTTAATGTCTGTCAAAATTCCCACTGTGCTCAGAGAAATAAAAAATAATAAATCATCAGCTTCACAAGTTTAGTAACAGGTTATGGAAGAAGATTAGTGTCACTAATTAAAAAAAAAAAGCAGATTTTTTTTACTCAGAATTCAGACTCTTTCTTTTCGGAATTCTGACAGATATTCTCAAAATTCCGACATCTTTGATCCTTAATGAAGAACGAGACACAATTCTTCCTCTCCAACAAACAGGAAACGACATGTGAGCGTTAATCCTCCGGAAGCGCAGAGGATCCAAAGGAAAAGAGGAAACGCTTTCCTTTCACTTTGCAGAAATGCTGCGTTTACTTCGCCCTGCTGGCTGCTTGTGTGCATGACTTTCTAATGTTGCACTTTCAAACAATGCAGCAAAACAAATTCATACGCTGCGCTTCCTGAAGAGTTCAAAGGTCAGGATGGAAGGTGAAAGAGAAGAAACAACACAAAGTGAAGGATTTAGTAGAGTTTGTTTTTCTGCTGGAAGCCATGTGTAGGATGAGCTTCCTGTAACAATGTTTATCATCACCAATAACAGATTTTATCTCAATCATGTTATTAGAAAGTCAATTTACAAAGCAAAACCCATCATTTAGATTAATTCCACACATTTTGCTTTTGTATGTTTTCATGTGAAATGTTATCATTTTCTTACTGCTTACAAAAATGTGACATTTATCTGCTTAGAATATGAAAATAATATGTATTAAAAAGGAGATTTTTAATACAGGAATGTGGGCTCAATTTTGCAACAGGTCTCATCAGAACCTGGACTCTGGTTTCCTGAGACCAGCCTGTAAACTTTGTGTTCTAACCGAGTCAACCTGAGCCGGTATCCAAACGTTTATCCCAAAGATTTTATATGAATATAAAAACCCAGTGTGTTGCCACATCAGAACACTGGTGTATTTATTTGGGGAGATTTCTTTTTTTATTTGTATTTTTTTCCCACCCGCTAACAGCTTCCTGCTTGTTAAGAGTCTGAACTTGGCAGCCGGAGTCCATTAAAGTGGAGTTAAAATCTCCGGTCCAGATGGGATTCAAAGCCAGGCCTTCAGTTCAGTTGTTTACGTGGAGCAAACAGTTTAAAGGTCAGATTCGACGCCACTCAGCTCAGCGCCGTCTTTCATGTCGGCTCTTATTTATCTTATTTCTGTTCTTAAACTCGCCGGCTTGCAAAAAGTATCCATGTCTTTTGAACGTTTGTATTTTGTCACATTGCAACTGCAAATGTCAATGTTTTAGTATTTCATTAAATACAGCACACAATTATGAGTAAAAGTCGATAGATACGTTGTATGTCCTAATCAATACAAGGCTGAGAACTGTTCCAGTTGTTTTCTAATATTCATAAGTGATCAGAAGACTGATAGGTACTGAACAGAGTCCACCTGTGTGTATTGTTCTACAAGGTTCTGACTAAAGCGGCCTGCGTCCAAAAGCATGCCACACTTTACAGATTGATAAGAAAAAAATGAATAAAAATTCTCTCAATTTTCTCTCCACTTTACAATCTGTTTTGGTGGTTCATCGCCTCCAATAGGACAAACTGTGTGGGTGTGGTGCCCTAAACCACGGAGGGTGTGAATACTTGAACAAGGCGTCGCAGCAGCAGCAGCAGCAGCTGCTGTCGTTAAGGAAAGACAGGAAATGCCTCCAGATTGTGAAGCCACAAAGAGCCAGACTGGATTTATCTGACTGCAAGAGTCGAATCCAACATTCATTACTTTCTCTTTTAAGAGCCTTGGATGAGCGATGTTTGAAAAGACTGTTTTACATGTCAAACATCTTCCATCTGAAGGAGGCAACATTTGTGTTTTCATGCTGAGGTCAAATTGAAATGGGACTTTGGTGCATCACCTGTTGCTTATTGTCTGTTTCTTTCTGGGTGGGGAACTGTAAAAGTAAAAATCAAAATCAAATGAAACCCAGGAATCTATTTTCCCAATGAAGACAGTTTCAAACACCTTTGCTCCCTTAATAGATGGCTGGAGTCCTGCGTGTAGTTTATTCCTCCAAATACCGGATGTTAAGTTGCCTTTAACTGCACTGACTGTCACAAGTGTTTTATGTTGTAGTTTGTTTGTTTTGTTTCCAAAAGCTGCGCTTGTACAAAAAGCACACTGCTGCCGGACTGACCGTGTCGTGTGAATGCTTCATGGATGGCTGTGTTTCAGATTTGTATTTCCAAAATCCAAAATAAAGATGGTCTTATTCTGGATGCTCCGTCTCTTTTTTCCCAAAAGCTGCTGTTTTATCGTGCTGCAAGAACTTCAGCAAACCTCAGACCAGTTCAGGTTCCTTCTACAGTTTTTCACCAGAAAATGAAGAGAAAGGTTTGATTAACAAACTCTCAAAGTTGGAAAAAAAACAACAACTGTGTGTTGCCAGCAGAGGGCAGCATTTTTCCAGAGGAGGAGTCCTGTTAATCAGTCAACGATAGTCAATGTTTCTGATGGCAGCTATTCATTTCTCAGCATTTCTGATTGAAGGACATGCTGACATTTAAAAAAAATATTTTACATAAAAAAAACAACAAATTCATACTTTCTTTTTTCGTTCAAGTCTTCCTCACATGAGGAGATTAATTTTTAAAAAATGGTCCCAAACATGTTGTAGATCAAATCTCTGCCACAAGGAGGAGACACAGGCTCCCCCTGTGCAGAGGTAAAAACAGAAGTTTCTATTGTTGGCTGCTTCATTCTGTCTCTTCTTGGTTCCTCAGTGTGTTTCTCTGTGTTTCTATTCTCTGTTTTCTATTTTCTCTGAGAAGTCCCAGGACACAGTGAGTCACAGGAACGCTGCCTGGACTCAGACACATGGAAAATATCACACAAACCCTGATCTCTGGGCCAAAGCTCCTCCAGCAGCTCTGTTTACAGCCCATGTCAGTAAACTAAACCAGGGAGCAGAAGACCTGCAGAATCCCACATTTAGGCCTGAGTCGTGTTCTTTATGTTCTTTGAAAAACACTGCATCACTTCCTACCGACCTTGTTGAGGTCCTGTCTGAATGTCTGAATGTTTAACCTGAAGATTCTGCTCTGAAGTCACAGGGTGTGAATCAGATTAGGGAGAGTCACTGAGTGGAAGCAGATCTCCACTGACTCACTTGAACGTGAATCTCTTTCTACTAGTTTATTGTAACATCGTTCATTATTAGTTGTTCCAGGTGACATTAAAGCTGAATATTCTACTCTTGTATTAAAAGTAAACTTTTTTCCTGATATTTGAGGAGCACTGTTGGGTTTAGATGTGGACACTAAACAATTTGTTTCCTTGTGTGACACTATAGAAAACAACTCTAAGGGGGAGTATCATGTAAAATCAACTTTTTTTGCTTTCCATCATATTATAATGGATAATCATCTTCCCTTAAAATCATACCTGAAATGTCACCTTGATTCTTTCTTGCATGTTTGAGAATGGTTGCTGCCATGGCAACCATTCAGCAGTGCAAAACGCCTGGGTGGACCAAGCCCCGCCTCCAAAGCGCAGCTCCTCCTCTGAGCTGCAGTTTCCAAGCTTCTAAGCTTCTGCCTCACAGATCATGACTCCCCCACTCAGCTCCTTCAGACTAGCTAGCAGCAATTAGCAAACTGCACATCTGCTGAGCTCATTTTTGGAGCTACTTATAAAAATGTTTTCAAGGGTTAATAGAGAAGCCACGTATTGATGACTTCCTGAAGCTTTCAGAAAGAGCAGGAGCTCCAGTCCAGACAAAGTGACACAGAAGTGTTTTGTCCTGGTTTCTGGTCAGGAAAACAACACAGTCCTGTTCTGGTAGCAGCCAATAAAATGTCACTGCGAGAGTCAAAAGAAGCATGACTGAAATATTTATGAGTTTTCCATACCTGTTCAGAGACACAGTGACCTGCTGAGTGACCCGGACACTGGGACATGACTCAGACATGATCAGTCACATCCCATCTGCCGTCGGTTCATGTCTGGCCAAATAAACAGTCACTACTTGAATTTAACTAATCAAACAGGTACAGCTGTCCTATTGGACAGCTACTGCATGGACAGCTGTCTTAAGTTATGTAACCCCAGTGGCTTCTCGGTTCTTGAACAGCCATGTGGGAGGAGACATAGAAAACATGTCAGATCGTCAGCGTCAAGCAGAGAAAACACCTCAGGAGATTCAGAAATGACTGAAACAAAGTTGAGACTGTTTAATGCAGAACCAGCCAAAAACCTGTGTGGGGTTTTTCATCTGTTTTAGGGTCATGTTGATGAATCTCATTGGTTTTGCTCAATCAGGTCGACTTTCTGAACTATGGAGCAACATGAGCATCAAAATGCAGGACTTGTTCTGACATCTGGATCAATGAGTGATGAGCAGGAGGAGAGATTCCATCAGGACAATGAAGACGTCTTACCCTTATTAGAGTTTATTATTCAGTTTATAGAAATCCAAGTCTGTAACATTTAATTAATACTCTGTCAGAAAACAATTTTTTCCCCTAAAACCTTTCCTGGATGAGAGATATGAACAGCAATGAACTGATAATGTGACAAAAATGCCATCAATTTAGTCTGAAGATCAGATTTCTCTCAATCAAATTAGAATAGAAACCTGAGCTGATTGAAAAGAATGGACGTCACTTTCAGACGCTCTAATCAGTGACACTGCAAAAGAATGGACTGTAGAGTGATGGAAGAAGGTCGTGTGATCTGATGGGTCCAGATATACTAAAATTTCAATTATTTCATGGATGTTAATGTAAACTGTTTTCCGTCTGAGCTGTGCAGAGTGTCTGCAGGACACAGGAGGAGTTTTCAGGGCTGCAGAATGTGACAAAGACTCAGCTGACAGCTCTGTGACGTCAGAGCAAGGCAGTACAAAGCCTCTGAGAGTTCACCGCTGATAACACACACACACACACACACACACACTCAGCTCTGGCCTGCCTGATACAAAGAATCACAGTCCAACACACACCCTACAACCAGACAATGCCTCCATCCGTGTGAGTTCGCAGACGACATGAAGGGCTAGGAATTTACACAAACACATAACCCAGCTCCACCAAAACCAGGCTCCAATTATGCAAACGATGGACTTTCCAGGCCCTTAGTGGCCCCTGCTGTGTTCCCATTTCCACTGATGGAACGCGTCCAGCGCCGCTCTCATCAGCTGACCCGAACCTCTGATTAGGCCTCCTCCGTTGTTCCCTCCAGAGTGTGACCACACACATTTAAAGGCCTGGCAGGGATCCAGAACGAACCGCAGGAACGACAGTGAAGCTCCACAGAAAGACGAGGGAGCCGGGAGTTAATGAGCTCAATTCCCAGGAAAACAACAACAACTGTCCCATCAAATTCAGCAACAGGTGGACAAACCCTGAAGCTGTTATCTTTTGAAATTTTAATTTAAAGATCTGCTTCGTGTCTCTGGTTCTGGGCTCATTCTGGATGAACTGACTGCATGGATTGAGTTTGTTCACCTCAACTCAACCAATTCATCTCGGTGAGAAATATGGTGGTGGAACAGTGCATTGTGGGTAACTCTTCCAGATGACTTCATTTCAAAATGTTTTTACCGCATTGATTTCATTAAAGTAAACTTTTGAATTCAAGGTATGTTTAATTGTAGTTTAACTGAGTGAGCACAGGCAGCTTGTTCTTCACATATAATCTTTGTAAAAACTGAGCAGATCTAACTCTGCTGCTTCTGACAGCTGGTTAAGATAGAAACATCGACTGTGATTCTGTCACAGGCGTTCCCAGTCCAGAAATGACAGATTCCCATTTATTACTTCCACTTCCTGCAGCCAGATGGTCTGAATGATCAGCATGTCGTCAAGTTCTCCACCGGTCTGGTGCTGACCCAAATGTACCAGACAAACATCTAAAACATGCACAAAACTGGCAGGTTACACTCTGAAATATTTCATATTAAAATAGTTAAGGTCTTCATTATGCATATATAGGCTACAGACGGATTTGTGCTCCCATCAGTAAATCTACAAAACCAGCTAATTTCAGTGCATTTCTGAAACAATATTATTTGTATTTTTCCAAATACCGATCAGCCGTGACTCGAGAATTGTCTGCTTCTGGTTTCTAATCAATATTTCATGCCGTAATGAGACACGAGATGCCAGGCAGGACAAACTTTGATCAGGTTACATTTTATCAGCACAACTAACCCTAACCCACCTCCTCCAACGATGGGACACGACATATCAGGACCAAAACTCTGAATTATTCTTTTAATATGACGACTGTTATGATTTTTCTCGATTCTTAACTTGGCTTTTTATCCTTTACTTTACTGCTTCATCAGCTGCTTTTTACCTCCTGTAACTGTTATAAAAAATAATTCTAAGAATAAATGTCTGCACATTGCAATTTATACTATTTGCAAAATTTTTAACATTTTCTTGCCCATATTAATAACCAGGATGGCATAGATTACATTAACAGTGCACACATTCACATTTTACAGCAGTAAAATATCTGAAAATAAATCACTGGATCAATATGGAGTAGAAAAGTTAAAACATGACAGTATTGTATTTAAATGGAAGTGAAGTTAAATAACCTTTTTACATTTCTTTGAAGACATAGCACAATTTACAGGGTTTTTAATAATCGATGCTGAACTGTAAAATAATAATAATAATTGCAATATATAGATTAATGGATCTTTTTATCCACCCATACTGGTAGAACTTTGAAAATACAATTGCAGAATTTGTTTTTGGTAGAACGTGTCTTTAATTTTAAACGCATCTGCTGCAGTATTGTGGATAATCGATATGAGTATCGGCCCAAATCATCATATCGACGCATCGATGAGTAAAACCAAGTATTGAGCGTCGCACTTTTTACTCTCTGACATTAAAAGGTGAACAGAAAACCACACAACTGTTCATCAAACTGTTTCCAATGTCCAACATTTTCTATGAGATTTCTTTATTATTTAAAATTAACAGGTAAGTTGATAGCCAAAGTATCAGAGCTGCAGTTACGGGAGACTTTTTGTGCCAAATGCTCACTGTCAGTCAGCTGAATGTCAATGATTATTTTTCTCTGGATCAAACACTGACAGTTGCTTTTTTTAATAAAAAATTATAATCAATGTTATTTTCCTCATGTCATTCAGATTCTGACATCATGACATAAGGATGATGGAAATCCATCACCTGTACAGTCACTTTGCAAGGTTTTCAAGTAGAATGTTACGCTACTTTTTATTCTTTTTTTTTTTTAA